GTTATAACCTATGTTAACTATATTAAACTACAACTATGTATGTTGACGACTTGCCCTCCACTCATTGCGCGCGTCCATCGGTCATTGGTCAGCGCGTTGGTTGATATGATGGCCCATATCAACCAATGAGAGGGCATCTCCAACTTCAAGGAGATCTAAGAACAATATTATTAAAAAGGTAATATTGTCAAAATATTATTAGTTATAATAATATTTTTATTGACACTTCATATAAGTGTCAATATTATGTAACGGGCTCACCCCGTTACATCATTGGTAGACCTGGTCTTTCGTCAGGTCCCTCATCGGTAGACCTGGGCCCCTCGAGGTTCAGCTACTCCTGACGAGTCAATAAAGGAATCATACCTGTCAACACAAGGAACCAGAGCTTTATGCAAGGAAAGAGTAAAGAAGTTTACGGATAGGACTATGCTCAATTCGCGATCTACGTGGCACGTCTTCGTCGCGCTTAAAGAACCTCGAGTCTGACTACACGCCTGTTCCAGGGAATGGATAACTTCTTCCCCCCCCGTTGATGACTATCGTGTGGGTAGACTTAGGTGCGAACATAATGTCACTTGGCATTTCTTAATCTTTATATAAAAAAAAATATATTCACCTGGTCCGAAAAAGGATTATCTTTCCCCCCCGTTGAAGACAGTTGTGTGGTGAGACTCATGTGCGAATATAACCCCAGAATATATTTGGTCTGTAAGCTCGTCTCGGATCGCATCCCCCCAAAGATCCGCTAACCGTATCGGAAGCGGTCTCCCTAACCTCACGGTTCGGGAAAGAAGTAAATGCCAAGTGTTTGACACCCCTAAGATAACCAACCAGGGATGACGAGCTTCCTATAGAATTTGGTTATATGTCCACTCTCGACGAGGCCGATCGAGAATTTACCTACCGCCTCACCGAGTGAAGCATATTTACTCGAGCCTCCCCCCAGGTCTACCACTTTCAAGGCATACATATGCATCCTTAAGTGTTTCGAAGAGTAGCTGACGGGTATGAAACGTGAGAGAAGGTACATACGTGGCTTCGCGGGTTTCCTTTCGAAAGTCGGCAGTCCGGCACAGTGAGTGGTTTGGAGTCTTATCAAACAATTTGTAAGAATCCACTCCACCACATGTGCGTACAACATTAAGCTCGGCGTTGTAAATTTGCTCCTGAGCAACTACTTTCGGAAGACCCCCCCCCCCCCCGCAACTCCACATCGTCGAGTAAGAGTTGAAAGACATCCAGCGCGAAAATACTGAATGAGGGCATAGGGCGCCATGTGCTTATCCAAAAGAGTAAAGTGAAGAAAAATAGTCATCTTTACACTCATGTACGACGTGCGACAGATCGAAAACAAGGGACATAGTCACAGAGGAATTCGTTGGAATGCTCTCCAGACACGGGTGGACAAAATATGCACCGTCCACGACATTTGACCGCCTTTACACAAAGTGTAAGACAAAGTCAAATTAGGAAAAGAACGTCAACATTTTATCCATCTTAGAAGACACGTAAGAATGTTGTTGGTATAGACTGACAAACCATCTTCCATAAAAATGCATCCAGATCGCGATCCAGGTTATGTGGATCGGCGACCGCGATGTAGGTTTTGTGAGCCACACATTGAGAATTGACCGCAATCACCAAATTTTGTGGACCACACATTGCGAATTACCAATTCAGTTTGGTTAAGGGAGGTCAGTACTTCATAAATCAAAGTACTGACCACTTCATTAGTTTGACAGCCAATAAAGACTTCGATCTCGACCACGGTGGCAGTAGTAATATCCCAGTAGGATTACAGCCAATGAATAGGCTGTTAGATACGATCGTTTTTTGACAGGTTGCAAGGTGTTGAAGGCAAGGGCTATACCCTGTGACCGGTAAGTTGCGACCGCACCCGAATTGGCTAATGTTGTGACATCTTAACAGATGTGGCGAAGCGGGATAGACGAAGACTACAGACTAGACATGGTATAGTCGCAGTTGACTCTATCGTACTTGTTAAAGCACTAGCGAGGGAGAGTAGTTAATGCTTAATATATTTTACTTTTACTTCTACCTCTACGTGCACAAGTGCACCACTACTTCACATCACTCTTACATAGACGTCCCTACTCTTAATTAGATTGAGACTTACGCCTAAACACTGCTCATTTGAGGGGCTGAAATTTATGTGGTGAAGTCGGTCGAAGGAATTGATCAACGGTGGGAAAATGATTGGAGTGTGGACCACATACATGGAATGGATCGATATAATGGATTTGTACTTGGTTGAATTATGGGAGCGATCAAGTTTATTTGATCGATCAATTAACGGTCGGAATTACTTGGTTATACTATGGGATCGATCTGATTTTATCAGGCCGATCAATCGGTCGCATATGATCGTTACAGCCCAAGTGAAGATGACGACTACATGTTCGCCTTTTTATGCTCGATCATGATTGATCGGGATCGCGATTGAAGCAATTGGCATGAATATAATTTCGATCAGATCAGCATGGATATAAACGCGATCACGATCGACAAAGGCGATCACGATCGACGAATGCGATAATGATCGACGAATGCGATAATGATCGACGAATGCGATAATGATCGACGAATGCGATCACGATCGACGAATGCGATCACGATCGACAAATGCGATCACGATCGACAAATGCGATCACGATCGACGAATAAGATCCCGATCGACAAAAGTGATCACGATCGACTAATGCGATCATGATCGACATCGTAATCAAGAGTGGGATCGCCGCTATATCAGAGTGGGCCACATATTGAGATCTGGTTTTTCGGAGGACTACGCTGCACAGAAGACACAGGTATACAGATAGGCAGCATCGTAGATTTTAGTATTTGATTGGTTATATTTAAGCAGAGTTCCTTTTACTTCTAACTACGCACGCAGACTTCTCTTCCGGGTGGAATTTTTTGGCCCTTCGACGATCAAGAGCTTCTGCCACCAGTATCTACAAGTAATATTCCTAGATTGTCTGGCCAGGGAATACAAGACCTCTCACAAACAAGCTTCGCCTGCGATTGGACGCAGTATCACGTTAAGGACAAGGCACAAGATCACGAGACGGCTGAAGTGGTCAGAAGGTCAAGTGGATCAAGTATCTACATTTTGGACAAGGCCATCTCAAGAGAGATCGGGCGACTCATACAGAGTGCCCGAAGTGACCCCATCGATCGCGTGAAGATTTCCGCGCGGTCGAAACCCCAACCAATCCCAACCACGGTCAAGTTCAGCACCAGCTCAAGTCCACCGAGAAGAGTGATATACGCCCTAACGACGGGTACACAAGGTGAGAGTAAATTGCTATACACGTAAACGGAGTACCCTTTCCGTTTGTCGGTAGTCCAGGCGCCAGTGGAGAGTCGGGATCACATCAGAAATTTTGTCAACCCCGCTCCACCACACTTACACGGTTCTATAAGTACTTAATACTTTAGGAAGGCCTAAATGAGTACGACGTACCTTAGACCTGTGGCACATCAATATGACCCAACCTCGTGAATGTGATATACATGGATGGACTCACATTCAACGTGGATGACGCCAGTTGGGACTGGGCGTCATGGTGACGCTTCAGACAGACTTCATCGGCGAGCTTAGATATATGTTAAGCTCGCACGTAAGGATACGTTTCTAAAGAGACGCGTATCCAATCATTGCAAAATTAGCCAATCAGTAGTTAGATTTATATTTAGTTAATTTTTTATTATTTATAAGTCAGTCCTGAATTTACTACTTACCGCCCACTGCGCACGAGAATTTCTGCGTGGCGTAAGTGAGGCACTTCTTAGCTGTTCGTTGCGCGGACTGCTCTAAGCGACCGGCAACGGTTGGTACAGCGCTTTTTAGCGCCAACTAACGCAACCACCACCGCACGCGGAGGTAAGACGGTATAACCGCTTCTTCGCGCTGCTTGAAGGTGTGCCTGCGTAGTATGTGGCAGCTTCTTTACGAAGCGCCCGTCTACAGCTTTTAAGTGGCGAAGGCGGTGCTACAGGGACGGCAGTGCTGATGACGGCGGTGCTGATGACGGCGATGCTGCAGGAACGGAGAGCTTGGCAGGGACGACGACGAGGCTAAGGGGCAAGGGCCAACAAGTGCTACCAGCTGTGAAGACTTGTAGTACACTAGGTATTAGTTAGAACTGAAAGTATACAGGTCCTTAGTTCGCTACCCTGTGCTGTCTTCAAGCCTCTTCTTCTAGGTCTTTGTAGAAGCTTCGTAGTGACGTCATCTATTGACGTCAGACTGTTATGTCATCTATTGACATTAGACTGTGATGTCATGCAATGACGCCAGACTGTGATGTCATGCAATGACGCCAGACTGTGATGTCATGCAATGACGCCAGACTGTGATGTCAAGGCTATCCAATATGCATTCAGCTGTGCAACCCTAGTACACGCTCTGTCGCACCGCACGTACCTTGCGGCCTGACAAGTTGTACCAGGATTGCGGAGTCAACTTGAAAGTGTCGCCTTACACACAGAGCAAGTAACCGAAGTCGGACAAACCGATGTAAGTAGCTTGCTGGGTAAGGGTGATGGCCAAACATCGATGACGCATTAACTCGTATCGTTTAGTTTGTAAAGCTGCATTCGTCACTTTGCACACTGACCAGTATACTTCACTAGCATTGCTACAGTCATAGGTACGATACCTCCAGGTACAAAAGTGATGGCATATGCGACTTTTACGACCGCATCAAAGTCCGAGTAGACAATATCCGCACTTCCCGGACGCGTCCTCCACACGATTTTTTCCCACATGAAGAACCATTGCATAGATTGGATCCAGTCTCCTTGCTTGTCAAACGCAACGCAAATTGTAAAGTGAATCGGAGACGGTATGCATACCGTCTCCTTTCAAATACGTTATTCAGCTGAGTATCTATTGCCACAGGTGTATGTATATACGTATTCCAGCCAGAAAGGGGATAATTTGATCCATTAAGACAATAATCAGTGGAAAAATGCTATTGGAATTGGGACGCTTTGTCTTCTTGGCATTAACGGATGCAGCAATGTTACCGGCATTAAATGTCATGAAGTGTAATCGTCGGCATTTCGAACTGTTTATTGGTGTATTACAATTGGTGATTTCGTTCTTCTTTAATGCTGCTGAAGCCTTTAACACGCAATTGTTCTTGGAAGAAGTCGAATGGCATTTTATCTCGGATGTTGTATCGATTACGTACTTCCTCTTGCTCTGTGTCCATCTCATGGGCTTTAAAGATGAGAATTACAATATTGTATTACGCTACGTGGCGTTTGCAGGTTCTTGGCTGTTCAAGACCAGGGACGACTGGGATTCGATACTTTATCAGGGAATGCTTGTGGGTTGTTATCTCATGGGAGTTATCTACCGTCGAGGGCTCACTAAGAACAAGAATGTCTCCCCTTTGAACAAGCAAAAGGGAGTGTACGCAGTCGTGAGTCTCGTTGCGGCGGTTATTATGTGGTTTATTGCAATCTTCTTCCATGAAGACGAGAACCACATGGCGTGGGGGATAACTAAAGGTTTGATGCACATGTTGGCGGGAGCGTCGTTCTACTACGCGTGGCTCTCGGTGCCGTGTATGGACTCCAAGAAGGACGATATGATCCCGATGCATAGCTCGTTTGTGTAGAGAGAGAATGAAGATGCAACTTCCAAAAGCACTTCAATCTTGTGAGGAAGAAGTCACAGAGCGTCTCAATTGGCTTTCCAACGGTTTTTTCTTCGATGCTACAGCGTCTAAAGCTGTGTCTCACTTCCAATGAAAAACGTGAAGGGATACCAGACCTTGGACAATGAAGACAAGAATATACAGGAAAAGTCGTACATGCCTGTTTATCCATTTGCCCGTTCGATGTAGGTCTGCATCTGCAGCGACGTCAATTAATGGTGTTGGACAGCTTCGTAAATAGGTAAAAGTCAGGTATTTTTCCTAGCAGACGTCGGCTACACGCAGCACATTGAGACAGTGCTAGACTGACCCCTTCTCACTTCTCGGCCATTGACTCCGACTAATTCGAGCAAGTCAAACTCATCAAGCACGATCAGCTTGACCAACTTTATCATTGACCTGTTTGTCTTTAGTAGATCATCGGTGAGCTGGTAAGTCAGCTAGCAAGAATCAAGGCTTCACGCCTGGCAGTTCTGCTTTTCTTCTTGATAGCATCTCGTTCAGTATCGCAAATAAAGTGTCCAGAACCTTAACCATAGCCAGCGTAGGCTCACACGAAAATAATACATCGTGCACTAAGGGCAAAAAGAACCGGTTGCGCAGCAGGTCAAGCCAAGAAGGCGCGTGGCATGTCATTGTGGGCACATCTTTCGGGTCTTCGTCTCACGTAAAGTCAAAAAGTAACTTCACCTTCGTGCTTAGCCTTGTAAATTGTTTACCTCACGGCATACAGCCCAGATTGTATTGGTTTATTGACACAGCCGCTCCTTCTGCACTCGATGGCTCTTTGAATAAATAGAGTACTCGCGCCATGATATCGGTGAACGCGATCATCACTTGCGATAAAAAGCTGGTCGTGTCGCGCCTTTCAGTCACTTCATCATTTTGCTAATATTCCGCGCTTCATTTTCTTTGCCACTTCTCATGTTTCGTCGCTGTGGGTACTTGACTCAGTCCACTGTATGCAGCAATCCTTCAGTTTACAAAGCTATTCTGACGGTTGAATTTGCGACTGATGTCGCTGAAGCGCTTGCTTTAGCGCTTGCTTTAGCGCTTCACGGATATTGTGACTGAACTGCACGATTCGCACAAATTCCACCTCGCGGGCTCTCTTGAGTTTCTTGATATTCCTCTCGTGCATCTGTATATTTGCGCTGACGGCTCGAATATGCAAATCCTCCCAGCTAGAATTTATCGGGGCGGAATGGTTGAGCGCTTCACTAAACCGCTGATACAACTTCGACAAGCTCTTCTCGTGGCGATCGATCTCATTTGTTAGCTGGAGACATGTACGATGACCCATCGAGAAGATTTTCGGTACATCACCGAGTTCCGCAAGGCGAAGAAGACGAACTGACGCCATGATATCTTTGGACTGGACAATAGTCGCGACAAGAAGCTGGTCGCGTCGTTTCTTCGCAGCCTCTAATACAGGCTGCAATTTCATCAGCAAAGCCATTACAGGTCCTGCACGATACGGCCCTTGGTATGTCGTAATTGCTAGCTGCCTGTTTAGCTGTTCACTTTGTAGCTCCATCTTTGCTACAACCTGGTTCACTTTATGGTAGTGGTCCACCAATGAGTCACTTAGCGCGTTTTCCGCAGAAAAGGCACCCCTGAGCGGTAGCTGGCCGTTAGAATGGGATGTGCTTGCAAAATTTGTGCTGGTGGACCACGATCCGCTCGTTGTGTTGGCAGCAGTCGACATGGAGCTTTGCGTCACCTGCATCATCCCGTTGCCCGTAACACTGGTCGCTGAAGCGGTGGTGTCGCTATCCCTCATCTGTGACGAAGCTCCATCCCACTGCAAACTTCCAACACCCGTGCCGGTATTGACAGCTTTGGCATCGTTCGAAGTTGAGGATATGCTGCACGCTGAGCTGGTTTGTTGTGAAAGGGGTGCCAATGGTTTTGATGGTATGAGCACTAACATTGACTGTTCATTCGTAGAAGCCTGATAATTACTGTTGTCTGAAGCGTTCTGCTGTGGCTGAGAATCCGCATTACATGAGCGCATGAATCCATTCTCTTTCCCTGTGCTACTTCCATTTTGTTGGCTCACTTCTTTTTCGTCATCCTCATCATCGATAACGATCACTTCAATGTCGCGCTTTCGTTTTGCACCGATGGTGCTACCACCAGTGTTTTTGCTATTTGTCTTCTGCTTTCGAGATGCAATCATATAGACAATCACATTTTGAAAACTTGCAGACCAGTGAGACGTTACGAAACACGTTCCAGGAGCATCTGTCAATAATCAAAGCAAATCAAAGTTTTAGCTCCAGATAAATCATCGATAGTTTAGTGATAGATAGACAAACCTTCTGTAGCAATTTTACGATGAGACGTAGTAGCTGACACGCTGTGAATCTCGTCAAAGCACTTTTTACAAAATTTCAAGTCGCACTCTGCACACCAATAGACGATCCAATCAAGCTGACACTGTGGACAAGCTGACAGCATCACACAAAGTAGACAAAACGACAAGAAGAAATCTTTAGTTACAACTACGTCAACAGTTCCAAAATCATCTCATCAAAAGTCACCTGAAGTATGTTGGCCACGATGTTGTCGGGCTTCCAGTGACTGATGATATAATTCCCAGCACAATAAACATAGTGGACGGTCCAATACAATGCAATCTTTTTGTTTGCATCGAATAACGGCCTTCTGTTCCTCTCGAACACGTTCACACTTTATACACCGTGGCAAACTGAGCTCTACAGACACACACACACACACAATAGTCCACAGTCGTCACAAATTTTCCACTTTTGTATCAATAACGATCCACAAAACACCTCGTACGTCGGACATGTTCTCGATTATACGTCTTGATATTTTCCAACACGACCGGAAGTACATCAAACCACATTTTGCCCGTGTTTTTGTCCTCCTTCTTGTCCTTCTCAACACTTTTCCGTCTATTTTTCTCCTTTGTATCAATTGTCTCGACACTCTCAATGCCATCGGTTTTGTTTCCTGTACCTGTCGTCCTTTTGTCATTTTCTGATCTTTTCCATAAATTTAATTGAAATTTGTCTTGAAATTTCTGAAATTTTACAATTGGTGGCTCGTTTTCAAACGTCTCGGATAAAGACTCCTTAAACGTCGTATTTGGTGTAATTTGTGACGCTTTTTGAGACATTGGAGTGGATAATTTGAATGGTGTAGCACAGAGATCCGAGACAAAGATCTCTTCAATCACTTGAGGAGGTGGAGACACGAGTGGAGCGTCCGATGAAGCCATTGAGACGGACTTGCTGACTTGCATTTTGCGACTAATTCACTACAAATTAAGCACAAAAATAGTCAAATCGAAGGGAATTTGATCCGACCTTTTTTTTGACGTCAAATCAAAGCAGCGTTTTAATGGATTGTTTCTGTATAGGTATTAATTCTAAGAGGATATGAGCAGATGAAGTAAATACCCTTCTCGAATTCGAATATTCTGGAAAATAATCCAAGCTATTGTCAAATTCCTTCAATCATCAATTTGACATCATGGAACACCCTAATACGGAAGCATTAGCAGCGGAGATTACGGAGCTACAGTCGCTATTGGAAACAACCAAGACGATCGGTAACAAGCACGACCTGGAGCAATTACTTTATCGCAAGAAAAAGGCGCTGGAAGCTGCGAATGTGTCAAAACTAACACCATCGCTCGAGCCAGTCAAGGCCGTGACGCATTCTGTGGCCAATGACGTTGCTACGTTTACCGAAATTAGTCGATTCGGCTGGGAGGATGAAGGTTATGGAAAGGAAAAAGTGGAAGTTTATATAATGTCGGGGATCGATGGAGTGGGGAATTTGTCCAAGGAGAAGGTGACATGTCAGTTTACCAAGACGTCGTTCGATCTAAAGGTATTATTGCAATTTAATGTAGTTTTGTTGGGGTAAGAATTGGATGAAAAGTGACGTTATTTATTGTGGTTTTTTATTTTGTAGATTATTGGATTGGAAAATAAAAATTACCGGTATGTGTAATTGATACATGGTGAATTTGTATATAGAGACGAGGGATCATGACAAGTGTGTGTGTGTGTTCACTTTTTGTGTCACTGTAGCCTGGTGAAGCAGCATTTGGAAAAGGAGATTGACCCATTGAAGAGCTCATTTCGTGTCAAGAAGAACCGCATTACAATCTCATTGCATAAAATGGAAAAGAACAATACGTGGATGAATCTAACGGCCAAGAATCCACTGAAGACGAGTAAACCCGACACGACTGACCCGGGTGCAGGTATCATGGATATGATGAAGGTACGTTAAAGATATGGGCCAGGAATCTCGGAAGAAAAGGTTTTAATGTGTATGTATTACTGTAGAATATGTACGAAGAAGGTGACGATGAGATGAAGCGCACTATTGCCAAGGCGTGGAGTGAGAGTCGTAACAAGACGGGGGCTGCGAGCCCGTTCTAGTCACGCACAACATTCTAATGGGGCAACAATTTTCTCTGCATTGAAGCACCTCTCTAACATGCAGGTCTTTTGAGTTTTTGTGTTCGTCTACTTGTCATCATCGATTTGGATCTCCTCGATCTCGTTGGCCCTCGTGAAAACGGTCACCTCATTGTTTTCTAATGCCATTTTGATCCGTTTGTACTCTGTGCTTTTCTTCTTTATCCAGAAACTCTCATTGGACTCACCTGTTTCTACCTGCACAAGTGACAGATATCCGTCTTCGTCGATGTCCATGACAATCCACTTTCTACTCGGCTCCGTGGCAACTTCACCAGCTATTGTCGCGTCTGGGTCTCCACCGACAATAACAATGAGCTCATTGTACCATTTGAGCAAGCGTTTCTTCTGCTTCGTACCAAAGACATTGAACGGCATGGCAAGTCCGTCTTTCAACGTCTGGAACGTCGCGTCTCCGATTGGCATCATGGTACCTCCCTGTTTGCTCAGCTTCACGTAGTGCCCCACACAGTCGACGAGTTTTATTTGCGCTGCGTCACCGAAACGCTGGCTTTGGTTACGCTGTAGAAAGCGACTGATGGTACGTAGCTCCTTGACAATTTTACATTGCAATTGCTCCATCCTGGTGACGTTTTCGGACACAGAGACAGCAGCCACCAGAACTTGACCATCTTCCCAGAACTTGGTGCACCTCGAGTGCATTGAGTGGTAGCGATTCACCGGGATATCGTTAATTCCGACCCTGCGCATAACTAACAATGGAGGACTTGTATGGAGACTTGGATACGTCTACCAGCGCATTGGAAAAGAAGGAGGCACTGGACCTAAAAACACAAGTCGAAGAGGAAAATGCTCGACTTCGAGTCGAACTAGCGCAGTTACAGGAACAGAATCGTCAGCTTGGAGCTGCTCATAAACAACTGGAGACGAACATTTCTACCCTTTTTGTTACGGCACAATTGGAACTTGGGCGCAAGGACAAAGAGATTCAACGACTGCGTCGTCAATTGGAAGAATGAAAAGTAGCATTCCATGGGATGCGAGAAGTGGTGAAGAATCATGAAGGATATATTGACTAACCCATTCTTCTCGTAATCGTGGTTGTCTCAATTCTCCATTCATACTTCGAATAGCATAAATAAAAAACCAGCCGCGTGTATATGTTCGTCATGAGAGCATTCGTTCGCTGCCGTCGAATACCCATCGCATCAACTGTTGGCTGTTTGTTCGTACCGACTCGGGCTCCATCTCTTGTAATTTCGGAGGCAAAGCTGCTCTCATACTCTGCAGAATCTTCTTTTTGACTGTTTGACGCTTAATCTGTTTTTGTCTGGATGAGAAGTCGCGCTCAGTGCTGATAAAAGTACCGTGTCGCTTGATAAATGTACGTGGATATGTAACTCTCTGCCCGTCATAGACTTCATACGCTTCAACAACATGACTGCTATATCTGTTTGGCCAGAAACACCATAGCTTTACGCATCGTGCGATGACGAGTTGGTTGGTCCAACAACGACATTCTCTGGGTCTGCCACCGAAACACCCAATGGTTTGTCTCCTCCACCGTTTTTTAGCTGCAGCAGCAGTGTGTCAAGGCAACTGACGTCATACTCGTCCAAAAGCGACGTCTCAAAGTCTTCGAGCTTCTTCATTACTGTCTGCTGATAAGCGGCCCACGAAAACGCACATTATTAGTTCATAAATCACACAGACAAACAATCCGCCAACAATCATAATCGCAAGACACATTACGATACCTGTTCGCCGTCCGTAAAGTTATAGTCAGAGTCAGGCAGTAAAGGGAGGTCTTCATCCAAAAATGCCAGTTGGCTGCTCACGTCCGGAGTTGACGTGCTACTCGAAGCGGTAGCGATACCACTCGGCGACTCGCTTCCGTTGCTCACAGGCAGCGTACTCACGTCTGGAATGGATTCGGTCGGCGTAGTGGCTGTCACAGGTGGCACCGATTTAGTCGGTGTCGACTCAGTCAGTACGGGAGCGCTCAAAGTTGTGTCTACTCCATTTGTGAGGAATCCACCCGGTGCTGAATCGATGTTTTTGTTCACTGGGCTGTTGTTTACCGCTGTGATTGGGGAAAAGATACTCAGCACGTTGTTCTGCCCTTCTTCAAGATGTGCCGAAGGAGAAGGACTAGATAGCAAATTCATTGTAAATGGGTTGCGTACTCCAGCGGAGCTAGGCGATCCGAAAGCTAAAGATGACTCTTTTCCAAAAAAATACATAGTTAGCTCTTCTGCTCCGACGATCACAACACAAAAAAGACTCACAAGCATACCTAATTCGTATGCATCCTTTTCTGTCAAAACCACCTCACCAACATCAGACAATCCTTCGACAAATTTCCGCTTTCGCGAGCCTGGCGTTACAGTCGCAACATTGGCGGATGATGATTCGGGCAACATCGGGGGCTCATCCATTGCCAAAAAACGCAATACGTCTCGAAACTCCTTTGGCCCAAGCATGCTACTGTTCGTGTAACTGCCAAGAGTCAAGAAGAAAAAACGAAGCCGATACGAAACAGGCACGAAATGTAAACAACACACAGCAGCAAAAACGGTTAGTCATGCATAGAGTACTTAGATAAACACGCAGAATACAACAAATGACAATCGCATGCTTGCGATACTTACTCATCACTGATGACAGCACCAGTAACATCGTTGCTAGATAGTTTTGGAAGATTTTGCTGTTTTCCACGGTAAATCTGGAACAAAATCCACATAATCTTTTTCATTTTCTCATGCATGACCAACTGCTTGTCCTTAGCTGCCTCCAAATGTTTCCACAATTTCAAATTGTCGCTCCGCACAATCTATTGTCAAAACAGTCAGTCAATCTCCCATCTCGTTACTTACCCAAGTAAAGGAGCAATTGATCGCACCGCATTGTCGATTTCCACATCGCGCAGACGTTTTTCCATGGCGTCGCTACGTTGACGCAACTCCTTCATCTCACGCAATAAAGCGTCCGACATTTCCCGATGTGCATCAAGTTTTGAATTCTGCTCGTAATAACATCACCACAAAAACGTAAGAACCTTTTCCCAATTAACCGGTCGATTTACTCAACCCAACGCACCTGAATGGACGCGCTGACAAGCTGCTGGTTGTGATGATTACTATTCGAAATCTTGCGTTTAATATGGTGCAGTAGATCAGGTTGACTACGTTTAAAGTACGGGTGCTGGAACTCGAGTCGTTTTGAGTCTAGTACCGTCTTATGAAAGCCATAGAGATTGAGCTGACGCACGAATGACGGGAAATTACGATGTTTAAAGAAACGAGGGAGTACCATTGACACAAAAGCTTCCAGTTGCGATACGATTATAGTATCACCCGTAGCATTCCAGCCACAAACGTGTGCAAACTCGGGCATACTAAAGATCTCGTACGTTTTGGACAGAAATGCCGGTAACATCACGTGTTTTCCCTCAATATTTGTAGCCGTTACTGTCTTGTTTTTGATCGTTGAGCTCGTCTGAGATGACAACGTTTTGGCTCCATCTGTGAGGCCTGTAGACGTCGGTACAGCGTCTTCTTGCTTGGTCATTCGAATACGTTTGGCCATGACTGTAAAATTGTAATTTTCTCCGATTCTACGGGTCGATTGGACGATGGAAGAGGACCAATGTGTACCTAAAGAAGGGATGCGTCTGTCTATACTACGTCCAAAGACTGTCGGAGCTCCGTGTGCGACGTGTGCGTCCTGTTCTGCGTTCTTCCTTGTGAAGAAGACGTTCAGTTGGTTGATTGGTCGACCGACCGTCTTTTATATATGGGAAAATCTAATGAGAGGTTAGTTTGTAAGCAATTGCCCAAAGTTGCGGAATGGACTGACCCATGGAGACGAGCCAGGTTATTGTCATTGGTTGCAAATATGCACCAATCGTGTGTTCGAACAGTCCGTTTTCTCGACCGCGTCTGTCTATAACCAACTTTTGAGAAAAAGTCAGTTGTTTCACCGAGCCGACCTTGTTCGGACGACTTCTAAAGAAACCAGCTGTTTTGTTGAACCCTGTACAAACCGATTCAGTGGCGTAAGAAAACGTACCAGATGGGTCTGTATTCATGCGACATCCTTGACATTATTAACTTTGACAGACCCTCTCTAATTCGCTTGACCCTCCTTGATTGGCCTCGTGCATTTGATATATGGCTACAGATTCTTTACGCTCAATACTCTCGCCTTCTTGCAAGTGGCGGGGCATTGATGCGTATTTTCAATGGGTTAATTCATACTATACATGGCGTGTTGCTGTCACTTGCTTGCTCTCTCTAATTTCATTCATACTCGTCTTTTTTATGAGCCAAGAAGGAGTTGTACGAAACATTTGGATCAGTTTACAAGCGCTTAATGTATCCCTGGGACTAGCAACGCTTCCTTTTGTACCTCTCTATCGTGTTTGTGTGGGTGGTACTCACAATGCTCAAGAAGCTACGGCTACGACAAGTGACCAGCTACTTGATCTACGTCCTGTGAACTCTTTTTCACTCACACGCTCGGCCTTTGACGCTGTGGGTGTGACACTGGAACGTACATTGGCTTTGGCAATTTTTGAGACTATTGCAGTTGTACAGACTGTATCCCTTACGTGGATTGTAGTGCTGATGCTTGGAGTTTATTGGGTCTTTGGAGACGACACGGAAAAAGGAGTGTGGGCTGTGTGGTCGAACACGACGTCATACGTGACGTTTGTAGCAATTGTTACCATTGCACTGCATACAAAGCAATTTGACCGTCTAAGGGCTCATCAACAGCTACAACTTGGAGCTGGTTTAGAGGAAGATGAGTTGATGACAGTGGCGCCGACAGCATTGGCGGGAGGAAGCACTGCTGGTGGAGGAGACACGGAGACGACGACTATCGCTGACGATAAGAATCTTGCGCCAAGTGGTGTACATACGCCGATTTTGCAATCAAATCGCATCGACTTGTATTTTACACTGAATCAAGAGCTGCATACATGGTCGACGACGCAAAACACGGCTCAAACCGTGGAGAGAAAGCTGCGACCTGCATTGTATGGCGCTGCAGTGAGTGGCAATGGCGCAGCCGTGGAGAATCTGTTACAGCGTGCAGAACATATGCTTGGATCCAAACTGCGGCTGGATGTGCTGCTCGATCAAATGTACGCGACACCCCCGTTGGTTTGTCGAATGTTCTCACGTCGGACACACAATCCACTGCATGTGGCGTGTCGTGCTGGCGACGTGCGCGTCGTTTCCATCCTGCTTGAGGCGGGTTTGAATCCAAATTGTCTCGATAAAATTTCTGGCGCCACTTTTAGTCTGGAGCTGCTGTACGAGTTGTGCCAATTGCGAGTAAAGAAGGTGACGCATATATTGGGAGCACCCTTGCATGTGGCTGCATTACACGGTCACACGCAGGTCATTGATCTCCTGGTAAAATTTGGAGCTAATTTGGATATCATGGCTCAATCAAGCTTTTTTTCGCGCTCCATGCGTGTCACCCCAATCTTCTTAGCAGACTCATCCGACGTTGTGGAGTCCCTCATTCGACATCGAGCCAATATCCTGCTGGTTCCGGGAAATGGAAACGCCGCCAACACAACGGTACTTCAACGCGCGCAGCTCTCTGGCCGCCGTGAACTTGCGACAGTGCTTGAGGAGTGGGGTGCTGATGTGGCGCTTACTCCTCTACATGAGGCTTCAGCTGCGGGAAACATTGCTGCTGTGCAGCATTTGCTGTCGTGGGGTATCAGCCCAGACACAATGGGCGAATTTCAACGCGGTGTGAATAGCCGCACACCCTTACACTGGGCAGCCGTGATGGGAAGACGTCGTGTAATTACTGAGCTTGTGAAACACGGTGCTGATGTCAATGCTAAGGACAGCTATGGACGAACTCCACTGCACTGGGCAGCACGCCATAACTATGCTAGTGCAGTTGAAGAGCTTCTTGCCGTAGATGCAGACTACTTGCAGTTGGATCATTATGGTATGACACCACTAGCGTTTGCCGTGGATGGCGGCCTTTTGCGAAGTGATTGCGTGGAACTGTTTGTCCGTTTTGGGGCGGATGTAAGCGCAATAATTCTTAACGAGATAGAGGAGACTCCTCTTCACATCGCGTTGCGTCTGGGATATAAAGATACCGCGTTGGCTTTGCTCGTCGATGGAAAGGCGGATCTGTACGCGGTCAATGGAGAGGGACGTCGTGCTGTTGAGTGCTGTGCATCAGCTGAGCTACAATATGCAGTAAAAGTTGCAGGAGGGTGTGTCGACGTTGTGCTCTCCTTTGACCCGGTTTTTCGCGCTTTTGCCGAGCACGTGCGAGCCGGTATTGAGCAAAATTTCATGACTGTGTACATGCGCACCGAGCAGGAAGATGCGGTGGGCAGAGAGGGGGGTGGTGCATCAGAGACATCGCTGGACGTGATGAAGACTGCTTCTGCATTTGTTTGTATGCTCAGCGACGGGTATGCACAGAGTATTCTGTGCATGGATGAACTTGCCTCTGCCAAACAACATGAGGTCCCAGTAGTGCCGATTTCGTGCGACTCTGTCAAAATGTCTGAGGAACTGCAGGTGTATGTTTTTACGAGGCAGATCGTGCCATTTGGCCCAGCTGTTACTTTGCATTATTCAAAGACAGCAGAGTTTAGCAAAGATGGTTCTGCTGTATCAGACTCGTCAACCATGGATCGCGTCGAATTTGAGATTGATGAGGATAAATTTCAGGCCAGTCTCAGAAGCCTCATTGACGGCTTGCGTGATGAGGTGGAAATGCATCGGCTCGGAGGCGATCGCGATCTGGCAGATAAGTTGCGAGCTAGTAAACATCAGTCTCTGGACAGGGCTGCAACTTTGAGGCACCGACGAATGGATGAGGTTGTAAACGCTGTAATAATTCGTGGTACTGGGAGGAGGAGGAATACGCTTGAAGGAAGGCCGGTATTTTCAATCTTTGTTTCGCATGGAGACTGCCATCGAGACTTCGTGACGAATCTATGCACAGAGCTGCGGCGTCACCAATTCCCATTCGTTGTTGATTCCATGACGAACGTGTCGAGCACTAAGGAACGTATTTTAGCAGCAAAGGATGCCATTTTACAAAGCTCAGTATTTTTAGTTGTGCTATCGGAGCGAAGCGTGAAAACGGAACTGGTAAGTGACCAGCTCGCGTTTGCTGAAGACAAAGGGAAAACGATTGTGCCCATTTACCATTCCAAACGACCACAAGGCGTGGATTTTACCTTAGGCAGACTTCTCGAGCGACAGGGCCGCGTGTACATCTTTTCCAGCGACATAAGCTATGGTCGTGGATTCGGTGAATTATTGCACGACCTACGCACAGGTGTCAGCGAGGATGCTTGCCCAAGTAGTGCTGATGTTTCATTGTCGTCGAGTCCAGTTACACAAGCTGCAGCTCGTCGTTTACTACAGAATGTAACCATTGTCAACGGAGAAAGCCCGTCACACCAGCCACTTTCCAGCGTCGGTTAGCCGTTGATTGATGCCAATGTATTCAACTTTCGGCTCTTCTGGTTTGTCAGTAAACGGCACGAGCACAAGTAAAGACGACGATCAATTAGCAGCCACCTTTTACCTCCAGTTGGTCTAAGTCCGTCCACCAAATTTCTGCAAAAGCTTGGATGCTTTCGTGATGTTCTTGGGAAAGCGGTTCCCGAGTCGACTGGTCTTTCCAGACTCAGACGAGTCCAAACTGATTGTAGAGCTCTGTACCAACAAAGAAGCACACCAAAATCCGCATCAAGACACGATTACAACCCATTTGTTCATCACTACAACAAGCCACACCTGTCGTGCTCTTTTATAGTGATCTTGACTCAAATTTCCATGACGAGAGACCCCACCAAGACCTCTCGTGGACAAGGGACCATGGTCGTTTTCCCCGCTTTTCTTCCGCTTAAGTCCGTGCTGCTCCTGCTGTCGATGTTTCTTGTGGTCTTCTTGACTCTCCACTAACGTCGTTTGGTATAATGAGCTCCATATCTTTTGAATTTGATCGATATCCATCGACTCGTCATGAAAAAGTGTCAAAATCTCACGAAAATCTGTTCGTTTCTTGGCTTTTGACGTCGGATTGAGACTTTGTATCATTCGTTTCTTCTGTTTAATTCCATCTTCTAAACGACCTTGTGAAGGAGGAGGAGGAGGCGGTGGTGGTGGAGGCAATGGCGCGTCCAAAGCCGCTCCTGATTCGTTCCAGTTGTGGTCTGCCATGATAATGGAGCAATTTTAAAGAAATTTCAGACTATATTGCAAATGTTTGGGAATTCGAATCAGTACCGGATACATCCTCGTCCACTACCGTCCACTTAGTGGACGTAAGAGTATACTGCGACAAAAGTAGTATACATTATGTGGTCGAATCATAATTGAGCGTATAATATCCGGAAAACAAGGTAATTCGCTCGATTTTCCCGTTGACTCGTCCACTTTTGACGTCCACCCGTAGCCATGTCATTCCTGCGCTTGTCTTCGCTCGGCCGCTTGCGTTCACAGCTTCAGACTCGTTGTCTGTCCACATATGGCCACTCGTTTGAGTTTGAGTCACGTCATGAGTATATGGAGTATCTACAGAAGTACCAGAGTCGTCTACCATGGGGATTTTCTGTAGCGACGACAAAGTTTGACTTTGTCCCACAAGAAGCGCCCCATTTGCCGTCTCAGATGACGTTGACGCTCATTAAACCGGTCAAACCGACGTCCCTTTTTGCTGCGGTGTTTACACAGAATGCGTTCCCAGGAGCACCCGTGCTTGTGGGTCGTAAACGGCTACAGGAGCCGAAATTAGGAGCTATTCTGATCAATAACAAGATTTCGAACGTCTGTGCCAGTGGCGGTGGTGTTGCAGACGCAGAGGAAGTCTGTGATAATCTAGCCAAGCACTTGAGACTGGACGGAGGGACCCAAGTGCTGCCCTGCTCTACGGGTGTCATTGGCTGGCGTATCCCAGTGGACGAGATGGTGGAAAACCTTCCCAAGCTTATCAAAAATTTGCAATCTGACTCGGTACTACCTGCTGCTGAAGGGATCATGACTACTGGTGGGTGGATGACATGGTCTTGTCGTTGGTATTGCTGGGGGTGTTTTAAACTGACGAGTGATTGCAACTTTTGTGGACAGATTTGTACCCAAAGATCCGCTCTATTGACGTGTGTGGAGGTAGAATTGTCGGCATTGCCAAAGGGGCCGGGATGATTGAACCTGATATGGCTACGATGCTGTCGTATATTCTTACTGGTGAGTACTGATGAGTTTTTGCTGCGGGTGGTAGTGGCACTGACATGTTGAAATGCCTGGAACAGATCTTTCGATACCGCGTGATGTGTTGCGTCAACTGCTGACGGAGGTGGTTGGAGACACGTACAACTCGCTCAGTATCGATACGGACCAAAGCACGTCGGATACGGTGACACTCGTGTCGTCAGACCAGATCCCGTTTGACATGAAGCAGCTGGACGAATTCAAGAAGGCGCTGCATAAGGTCTGCCTCGGACTGAGTGAAGATATTGTCCGCAATGGTGAGGGTGCACACCATGTCATGCGGGTGACCGTGAGTGGCGCGTTATCGAAAGACATGGCAAAAGGTGTCGGCAAGTCCGTGGTGAACTCGCCTCTGCTTAAGTGTGCAGTGGCTGGCAACGATCCGAATGTGGGCCGTCTTCTCATGGCTGTGGGCAAGTACATGGGCTTGCATCACAAGGATGTGAGCATTCAGCATCGTATGAAGATCCGAATGGGTGGTGTGGTCATTTTCGAAAATGGCGAGATGGTGCTGAATGATGATATTGAAGCCAAACTTGTGGCTCACATGCGTGGCGCGATGCTGATTGAGTCCACGCGGGGTGGACTTGATGCCAGCTCGCACAACTATCCGCCTCACGGGAAGTTTGTCGAGGTATGTAGCTCTTAGATGGATTGTGGTAGTGAGGTAACAAACTTACGACGGCTTTGTGTTTGTGACAATGTCAGATTGAGATTGATCTGGGTGTTGGATCCGAGGAAACTCAAGTACTGGGTATCGACCTTACTCACGAGTACGTGGCCATCAACGCCGACTATCGATCGTAGAATAAGACATGATTGTCGTGCTCAGCTACTACTGCAAGTGGATAGAGGGTGCTGCTCAACTACTGTTGTCAATAAGGTTGGATGAAATACTACCTGCTTCCTTATCTCATTTACTCAGTAACTTCCTATCAAAAGAGAATGTGCAGCCATTCGTATTGCTCTTTTGAGTCTCTAATTTGTCACTGCTAGCATCAAAACTGATAATACTCGTGGGGTTCTTCACATATTCAACAATTCGCAGAGATAGACCACTATCTGCTCGTCTATATAAAGTGTAGCCATCTGTACCACCATCGAGATAGATACATTTCTAAAATCGTGCAATGGTGGACAAGATAGCGCCGTCTTTGCGTTCCATGGGGCCATTGACTACCGCAATTCGAGCTTCACGACCATCATCAAACGCTCATAAAGACATGAAGGAGAAGCCTTTGGTCGTGTTTTTGCGGTTGAAACGCAAGCGGACTGAGACACCAATGGAATGTTTAGTGGTACAGGGTGAACCGATCACTAAGCGACCTAAAGTGGACTTTTTGGAGGCATTTACAAAGCTCTCAACGACAGAAAAACGTTTTGTCTTCAAACATATTGATACAATGGAAGAGTCAACAGTATCAGGACGTGGCAAATGGACGGATCGACTCAAGCGCAAAGCGAGATCGCTGAAGGACGAACGAGCCGATATTTTGGCCAAGAAACATCTCGTTCCCGTGTTCCAAAAGGACCCGACGGCTTCAAAACAGACGGAGCAACGTGTTAAACAGCAGAAGAGTCGATCTAAAGCTCGACGGAATGAAGAGGTGCTCAAGTTTAGAGGCCTGCAGCCAGTCATGGAAATTCAAGAGAAGCAAACGATGGAAATACATGGTATTCGACTGGTAGATCTGCAGTTATCAACTACTACAGGTACAAACAAGACGCTGGAAGAGAAGACGGACGCAGAGCTGGAAAAGAACGAGATTGAGGTGGTCACTGTAAATGGAGCACGGCTGAAACCTACGAGGGTGCTGAATCCGCACGAACGCATGCTGGATGAGTCGATTTGGATCGCATTCCGCTCGAACGATTTTGCTTCGTTTTTTCAGATGTACCGTGCCCAACGACCAGAGCTTTGTGCCGACTTGATAACATTTCAGCGACCAGCTGATGGAAGGACAATTCTGATGGCTGCAGCGTTGCATGGGCGGAGTGATGTGATTGAAGTGCTCTTGCGTTCTGGTTCTACAAGTGTTCTTCAACAAGATTGGGAAGGTGCTACGGCTGTGGTGTTTGCAAAGCGTGGAGGGCATTCTCATGTCGAGACAGCGCTACGTGCATGTGAAGAGGCAGAACGTGAAAAGGACTACGTGTACGACATTTATTGTGTTGATATCTCTGCGAGCGAGAGGCAAGACACTGGGCATGATACGACTACCAGTTCTAAGAATGGCTTTGAACAAACTAGCGTGAATGGCGTGCCGATCGTTAGTGTGAGTTCGGAGGTGCAACGTTGGCTCTCGGAAGACATACCGAATGATGAGGTAGAGGAATACATGCTGGAATCCGACATCGATAGTAACGATGAAATTGACGGGTACGCTTGCTTGTACATATGTTCATGGGACTGCTACGCGTCCATGACGAGGGTGCTCGGGCGTGAATAGGGTCGACCTAAAGATGTAGCGCTGGGAGACAGCAGATGTCACCGATGGTCGTCGACTTTTCTTGACACTTGTTTTGCCTGTCAATTGCATCGTGTAGATTGAGCGAGGATTCCAATGACGAAGACAATGTGGCAAATGATTATCCAGACGAAGAATCATCGGAGGAATCGGTGGATGAAAGTGAAGACTTTGATAAGGTATGTACATGGCAAGGGATTTTTATTACTGCTTTTTTGCACAATATTGTTTCGAATCTACTCAAAGCATTTGTTTGTTTTGTGTGATTTCGTAGATTGGAGCGCAACGTCGTTGGCAAAATTCCGAGATTTACACTGAGCAAAACGAGATTGACGATTGAATTGTTTTTAATGTATAACAACAATATGGATGTTTGTCAGACTGCTGCAACAATATTATTTTAGCAGTCTGTTACTTTTTTATAGATAAAAACTGGAGCAAACCTACTGCTTTCCTAAATCTAGGACAATTTTTTATTGTATATTAAGATATTCCTTGTATTTTTCAAACTATTTTAATACAAAAGTAGCAATCATTCTATAGACAAATTACCTAAAGTGATATCCTTATGTCTTAGTAAAATCTATCGGAAAGGACAAGGTATTAGCTGTAGCAGTATTACTTTATGCGTATAGCCTATTGGTTGCCACAGGAAGAGTTTGGCCGCTAAGAGGAAAAATAAGCTAAGACAGTATGTCACATAATATCAGGTAGACAGGAACTTTCTAATGGCTAAACGGTGTCTAATCCAAAACAGCGTACATCACATTAAGCATCAAAAGTATTAAATAAATAAAAATGATTCGTATTGTAATCATTGGAGGTGGTGCAGCTGGAATTAATACATTACAGGCACTTATCAAGAATATTAAACCATCTGATAAGACTGAAATTGTTCTTCTTGAAAAGAATTCCTACTATTACCATGTTGTAGGTGCTCCTCGAGCTCTTGTAGATGCTGCTTACACGAAGAAAATGTTTATTCCATATGACAATGTCATTCCCAAAGACGCAGTTAATTTTGCACGTATCATACGTGGAGTAGCAATAAAAATATCAATTGACTCAAATGAGGTGTCGTATCAAGCGATTGATACTGACGAGAAAGAAAAAGGGGTATTGGAAAAACTGTCATTTGATTATCTCGTCCTAGCAACGGGAAGTGTCTATTCAGTACCAATGAAACCTAATCGTCAACATTCTACTCGTTTCGCTATGGAAATGAAATTACAAGAAGTTCGTCATCATCTTGAACAAGCAGAAAAAATTGTGATTATTGGTGGAGGAGCTGTGGGCTGTGAAGTGGCGGCTGAGATCAAGTGCAAGTACCCGAACAAATTCGTAACAATTGTTGATGCAAACGAGAAACTCGTTTCTGGCAACAATCTCTGTGACAAGTTTTACGTCAAGTTGAATGAGTCGCTTGAAAAACTTGGTGTCCAAGTGATTTTAGGCGAACGTTTGACGAAACGGTTGAATGGCAATAGTTTTGACAAATGTATATTGCATACGGACAAGGGCACCGAGATTGAGTCGGATATTCAGCTTCTTTGCGGTGGGTTTAGCCCCGTTGCTACTCTAGTGCAGGAGATGGATGCATCTCTAGTGACGGAGCGTGGTGCTGTCAAGGTGAACAGTCAATTGCAGTTGGAAGGTGAGAAATATGGTCACGTTTTCGCTTTAGGCGATATGTGCAACCACCCAGCCCCGAAAATGGCTTTCATTGCTGGAGAACAGGGTAAGTTCCTAGCTAATGAGTTGGCTGCTGTAATTCACAAGAAACAACCAGGATTTACGAATTCATTCGAGGTACCAGCGGTTGCCGCGACAATCTTGCCATTAGGCCCATCCGGAGGTGTGTCACAATTGCCCGTATGTGGTGGCATCGTTGTCGGTGACTGGTTCACGTGGCTATTGAAGTCAAGGGACTATTTTGCTGGCCGCATTTGGGCGAGTATCGGTGCGACCGTCCCGAACTGATGACGATAAGGCTGGTTGCTAGGTGATCACGCAGCAGTCTTCTCGTCTTGTCTCGCGTTCTTGCTCAACATACCTGCCTATTTCACGGATGTATGTCTTCTTTAGCATGTATTGTTACTCAATCTCCGTAATGTTTCTTTTACTTTGAAGCGATTTAGCGTCATACATGTGTACCAGTACTGCCATTTGAATCCTCTCAAAGTGGGACCCGCTATGGTGACATTCCGAAACAACCATCTCACGTACTTGAACAATCATCATTGTCAAACAGGGACGACAAAATCCTGGAGAATAGAGTTGTGGCAGCTCTCAGGCAATCAAAACAATGACAACTTGTGCCTTACGACGAAGAACTAGCTGTCAGCTACTAGTCCCAGCCTTGTCGAATCCATATGCCAGTGTCGACTCAGTCGAGTGTAGTTTTTTTCCTTCAAATGATGACCGACAAAAGTCGCGATAGTCAAGCGCGATCGCTCCCATCCCGCGTTTCAACGCGGCAGAGCAACTTTAACGTGGTCATCAACGATCGCAATGCGTTCTCAAAGGCATTACACAGTCTTTGAGTCTTCGAGTCTGAAAGTGCATATTGCGTCCAACGTGTTGACCGGTGACCTATTGACTTTCATTGGGCTTTACCAGTCAGTAAGATGCGCCTCACATTGTTGTTGCAAGCACCATTAGAGATCGCGGTAGACTTCCTAGAATTCTACGCTTATACTTGGACCACAACAGCTTGTTCACCATTAGTAGCTTTTTAGCAGCGAGTTGAAGTGGAGACTTTGATCGCTGGTAAGCATCATTACGTCCACCAGATGATATATCGCCCTTACGTTCAATTGATCGTGGTGGCTGCTAAATGTGTTGCCAGCAGGAGCGAACGCACAGATGCCATCCGATTAGAGTACGCGAATCACGCCGCACGCCACTTTGAGCCATGTATAGTGAGTTTGAGTCAAGTGCCGTGCTTGCAATACAGACGCCAGCCACATGCCTATCACCACCTTGTCGACCACTTGGTCCGAGACGACTGTCGTCATAGTACAGACCTCACATGATTCAGTGTACCTGAGCACAGCTACATTCCAACTTGACGCGTGCTACGCAAGACTCTCTCGGTCTGCTACGGTGCAACTTGCTGATAAAGACTTTGTACAGCATCAAACCACTTTCTCATGAACATGAATCCAAAGTACTGCAAGGTGACGGTCAACACCGCGATGCCGCCTTCTCTGATACGACGACAAACTGCCGGCAATGAAAGTATCCGGTCGTACCAGCGCCGTCGACCGGTACTGCCCTACAAAAAAGCGAACGCCTTCGCTGTCTATGATGCGCACGAGGTCTTCATCGACGACACGGACGACATCGCTGTCTTGAGCGAAGACGAACCTATGGTATCGTCTCGCCGCCGCGCACACACCACTGCATCCTTGTCTACTTCCGCGCGGCTTTCAAATATCCTGAATCCGCTATCGCGCATGACGATGCGCTGGACGGATCAGTTGGGAGAAGAAGGGTCTTACAAGGCAATGGCCTCCTCTACAACAAGCGCATGCACGACTCCAGAGTTAATGGATTCCCCAACGTCGGTAATGGCTCAGCAGCCAATGATGGCTTTGGCCGATTCGTTCCTGGATGTGGACACGAACGGGAGTGACGAGATCATGCGTCCTACAATTGAAGAACTTGGGAGTCTAATGGCTGGAACGCCGCCGATTCCGGCAGGAGTTACACTCGATATGCTACCAAACGAACACGAGACGTCTCAACTATCACCGTACCTGCGCGACATATTGCTGCACAACCAGTATCAGCAGAGAAATCTGTCGCGACTTGTGCTCGAATACAGCGACGAGGAAGGTGAAAGTGATAGGGAGATTGAGGACGACGATGCAAGCAGTACCACCACAGATGACTACGGTGACGACTTGACTAACCATTCCGTGGACATCGATAGTATTCGACAAACCCGCCAAGAGGCCGCGGCGAACTTTCAATCCTCGCTTCTGGACTTGGATCAATCAAAGCCACACTTTACAACCAAAGTTCTGAGGCGCGTGGGCGGCTCGGCACGCAATGTTCGTGAACTTAGCTCTCCACGTTTGATGAGTCAAGTTACTCGCCCTCGCAAAGCTACTGTGCCAGACCGAGGTGAAACCATTGCAACTTTGGGTAACCACCTGCACAACGATGAGGTTCTTTCCGTGCCCATGTATCACGGACAGGAACTGCATCTAGCCTTCAAAACAACAACCGGTCAGACTACTCAAGTCCAAGGCCATCCCAAGCGGCGTAGCAAAGGCCACAGAAATCCCTTTTCGCGTCGTGTACGCTGCCACGCCGTTCAAGTGATTGACGCTTTGGACGAGAGCGACACGCTACGCATCATTGGGCATACTACGGACGGTATGCTTTGCGGTGGAGATTGCGTGTCGTTTGCACGCACTGATGGAATGGTGCTGCGTATGCAAAAGATGTCCAAGAAGCTCACCTTCAGCAACAAAAATGACGTGCGAGCCCAGTTTATTATCACCGGTGTACCTGACCGCACACCCGTGACCTCGACGTCTAACTTTTACTTGCAAAGTATGTATGACCGCAACAAAACAGTGGGTTATCTGCCGTCTCGACGTGCAAACAATCCGGGTTGCCTCGCTATGTATGTTCACCGCAACACGGAAGACAAGGTCGAACCTGTTCAGTTCTTTCAGCGCGCCCCGAGCAATACTTTGGTTTCTGGTACTACACGTAACAATGGGAGTGATTAAACAATTGAGTGTCAGGAACACCGAAGGTCGTACGCAACAATGGGCGCAACTAACAACCTGATACGACCGCAGTGTCAGATTGTGCCAGGGAGACCGAAATGATCGTATGATCAAGAAAATGCGTGTGCACTGTGTGTCTTGTAGTGTTTTACGGTTATGTTAGTCATGTCGTCTCATCTAATAAGACAATCGAGTGGCTGGCTAACACCTACTTCTTTTTTCTTAGATATCACACTATAATCTCCACGCAACTTGGCCTTTAACTCTTCGTGACCTGCAAAAGTGATCCCATTCTTGGAACTAAAATAAGTTTCAATGAGGTTATATGCACAAGGCATGGAAACCCTTTGGATAGAAGAAATTGACTGTGTGAGGACTTGGAGGATATCCTTAGAATTGTCAAACTTACCAGTAACGCAGATGTCTTCACGCATCACAACCGTGCTTTTGACGTCATCTTTGTCCATAAATGTGCTTCCAATATAAAAAATAAGCTTTTGAAAGACTCGAACGGTTTCGGACCATTCATTAAAACCATGACGACACTTCTAGATGGCAAAACATGCAGCAAAGAGATCGAAACGGAGCTCAAGGAGCTGATATCTACTCTTAGCGTAACGCCCACACTTGCCCTTTTGCTTGTCAGCAGTAATCCGGACTCGAAAACTTACGTGCGACTCAAGAAAAACGCCTGCACGCGTGTTGGAATCACGCCCCAAGTGCACGAACTGTCCGAGTCCATTGCATTCGAGGAACTACTGGCTCTGATTCAGTTACTCAATGATAATACTAATGTTCATGGCATTCTTCTCCAGCTGCCTTTGCCTGAGCATTTGCAGCTGCACGAGGAGGAGTTACTGGAGACCATCAGCCCCTTGAAAGACGCGGACGGACTCCACTCGCACCATTTTGCACGGTTGGCAGAACCAATGAAGAAACAGAACGAAGTAGCACCGAAGGACTTTCGGTTGCAACCCTGCACACCCGCGGGCTGTCTAGAGATTCTCGGTCGTAACGGGGTTAAACTGGAAGGTAAGGACGTAATTGTTATTGGCCGTGGACAGCTTGTCGGACGACCGCTGTCACTCATGCTGCTGGCTGCAAATGCCACGGTGACCAGCTGCCACTCAAAGACTAAAAATCTGGCAGACAAAGTCCGACGTGCAGAGGTGGTGTTCGTGGGTACTGGCCAACCAGAGCTCGTCAAGGGTGACTGGCTCGCTGAGGGAGCGGTGGTCGTGGACTGTGGTATTAACTACGTGGACGACGCCACAAGCAAGAAGGGCTACAAGATAGTGGGCGATGTTGACTTTGCAGCAGCCAGTGAACGCGTTTCAGTCATCACGCCTGTGCCCGGTGGTATTGGACCCATGACGATTGCCATGCTGTTGAAAAACACGGTGGAGTGCGCCAAGTTTGCTGCTGCCTCAGAAAGCTGAATGAAATATTGACATTTTCCAGAGGGTCGTCCATCCACATACAAATGTCTTCTACTTGTTGGATTCCATGTACTTGCTTTCTTGACTCTGCGCATAAGTTGGCTCGTTGCGTGAAAAAATCAAGTCGATTGTAGTAGGTCAGACAATTGCTTCTTGAATTAATAAGGTATGTTATCATAAAGCAATTGAGACTGCGCCATTTTGTAACTCGATCGTCATGATTGCGATCGCGGGAGAGACGGATTGGTGCCGTCGTATGTGAAGCCAGCAAACGTGTACGACAGGTTGCGTAGTGTACTATTGCGCTCGCTGCTGCTTGTGCTCACGCTAGTACTGCCAGCGGTGCCATTAAGCATGCTTGCTCCATAACCTGCCACCTTATCTACCGAATCTCTGCCACCCGGACCAGAAGCTCCACCGTTGCAGCTCTTTTCTTGCATGTCATTTGTTGCAACACTAAGACCTGCACTGTCGACCTGGGCAAGCGGTAGCTTTGTAAACTCCTCCTCAAAATTAGCAGCATCAATCGGGTCGGTGTACTGGCACGGGCGGTACAGTGGCTGCACCTCGCGGTTGTAAAGCAAGTTCCAGTCAATGTCCGCAAAGAACGGGTGGTAGGTGATCTCACGGACATCAATAGCACCCATGCGCTTGGCTGGGTCACGCGTGAGCAGGCCTTCAATAAGGTGCATAGCCTCCAGCGTTAATCCCTGCGGAAACTCAAGCTCAGCACAACGGAGGCGGTTAAACAGCTCCTGTCGGTCTTGTGTATACCACGGTGGCCGTCCAGTCAGCATTTCGTAAAGCACCATACCCAAATTCCACCAGTCCACAGCTGTACCATGACCGCCGCGGTTAAGAATTTCGGGTGGTAAGTACTCGGGCGTACCACACATGGTGTACGTCCCATTGAGTTCGCTAGTGATACCTTCCTTAGCTAATCCAAAATCTGCAAGTTTTACGTGACCATCGACATCCAGCATAATGTTTTCCGGTTTAAGATCTCGATACACAATACCCTGCTCGTGCAAATGGATCAGCGCCAAAACAATCTCTGCTGCATAAAACTTCGCCATAGCTTCGGGGAAACATCCACATCGACTAAGATGGAAGAACAAGTCTCCACCTGGACAGTAATCGAGTACGAAATACAGTTTGTCCTTTGTCTGGAAAGCGTGGTGCAAGCACACAACAAACGGGTGAGAAATGGAAGCCAGAACGCGACGCTCGGTCCGCGTGTGCTCCACTTGCTGCTTTTTTACAATCGCCGGCTTACTTAGAATTTTGACAGCAAACAACTGTGATGAATGTTTCTTCCGTACTAGCAGCACCTTACCAAACGATCCTTTTCCGATCATTCTCAGCACATCAAAATGCTTTACCGACACCTTACCACTTCGCTGTCTCGAGCAGTCTTCATCGTCAAATTCATTATCATCATCTTCGATATTCTGAAGGATCACACTTCGTCGCTGCCCCGCTATTGTAGACGCATTGAAAGGTGCCTCTCGACCGTCATCCGCCGGTTTCCCTTTTGGCAGCGACTTTCCGCGGGGCCTTTCATCACGTGACTTTGGCCCACCGTGATCAGCCGAGGCAACCCTCGCTCTACCACCACGAGAAATACCCGGACCAGCAGAGTCTACACGAAATCTACCACTCCACAGATTTGTAGACACTTGATCAGCCGAACCGCCACGAATTCTCCTTCGGTGTGAACTACGACTATCTTCTTTGGTCTCATAAGACATTACTTCTGTATCGGTCTTGTGTTCTGACGTGCTAAACAGTGGCGGTCGCCCCGAATTCGAATTCGGAAACGCGAATCCATTACACGAATTCGACACCGCATGAGAATTGGACGACAATGATGTCGATTCCTCGAAAATCGGTGGCTCATTGGCCTCGTGTGTGAGAAAGTGGCGGATAAGGCGCACACTTGCATGGAATCCACGATTGCCACAGCACTCAGTGCAGCGGTCTGTGTCAACCTTGCAGTTTTCGAGACCAATAAGCATCAGTACTTCTCGAAGCCACTTGTCCAGCTCCAATTGGCGCTTGCGCAGAAAGTTTGGGTCCAATGAACGCATCAAAGTTTTTGTAAGAACCGCTGAGATCCGTACCGATTCGTTTTTCAATTGGTGCGCGAGCTGTTTAAAGTCGTGGAAACGGCGATAAATTGTCCATTGTTTCTCGCTTACAATGCACTCGATCTCGAGTCGAAAGACAGCGTACAACTTGTGCGACACAGAGTCTCGTGCAAATGACCAGCCTTTGATGCGGTTCAGACGCCCGGCAGCACCCACTGGCAAGTATTTCGTCGTGCTTTGAACCTGTGCTTCTGAGTTTTTAAAATTCTCGGCCCACATTCGTTCAAAATATTCTCGTTCACCAGCCGGTTGTGCTGGCCGCTGGTCCTTTGGCAATTTCGACATATCTCCAGAAAACTGGAAAGAATCCTCTACTGACAGCATGGACGACCTTGAATCCACAGACATGGCGGATCCCGTACGAGACAGTCCGTCGTCAACGTTAAGGATATGGAACGGATCCCGCATGGGCGGCACTGACGGTGCCATCGTGTTTAACTCGACTCGTACTCTGCAATAAGATGTTCTTTTAGCCACTGTATGTCTATCGTTTTATCTGTAACAAAGTAGGACAGAAACGCACTTGGAAGGCATTTCATTCGTATGGATCTTGCCGACAGGTACTTGAGCATGAGCTGGAAAGTCCCGTGAGGGTTTTCGTTTCTTGTCTTTACTATGAATGAGCATTAGAAGCAAGAGATAAAACGGAGAGGGACAGCAGTATACTGGTCAGTATCGAACTACAGAGAGAGAGAGAGAGAGAGAGAGAGGATAAGACGGACGTACACCATGCGTGTTTACGAGACAAAGACGGGTGTGCGAAGCAGGTCCGTTTACTTGCAAGCGGTGACAGTCTGGATTGCCAGCGGCAGTAAGTGAAGAGCTGCTTGCTCGTCCCCCTTTTTTCTCCTTGTGTGCACGTCGAATAAGGATACACATGTCTCGTCATGAGAAATAAGATGTTATAGGATATAAAATTAGAAAGGTATATGGAAACAATATTGTAGCTGGAAGAAAGAATGGTACAGTGTTTACCAATAGAGGGTGATAAAGACAGAGAGGTCAACGTGCTCGTCACGTTGTACAAGCTGGGAGCTGCTGGACCGGTACTTCCTGCATTACAGAGTGAATGTATCTTGATAAGCTGAAAGGAAACCAGGAGCTGCTACTGCTAATTTCTCATTGTTTTGTTTAAGGTCATGAATTATATTGCATTAACGACTTAGGTCGGTGTAGGATGACGACACAGCGTTGTGTACTGGAAAGAAAGATTTTGCACCAAGATGAGCTACTGCAATCGTTGCATGAAATGCTCCGACTCACTTGCATTGTTCGTTCTCAGTACATCTTTCCAATGACAATAATGCTGTTGGACTAAACACTCGCTTGGATATACATTCCATTAATTAACTGACGAGATACTACTATCGTTGCCTTTTCCTATCATTATCGTCTGAGCCATTGTTATATAACCATTATTACCAAATAGTGATAATGGTCCATTGGCACTGTAAATAGCTGTCTTTGGGCTAGTACATCATTGGTCAAAATCTAGCGTCCCTTTTCTACAAATCAGTATTTTATTATTATACATTTATCCAATCGTTGTGCTTCATGATGAAACATCCAGGGGTGGGGGAAGGACTGGACATTCGCGGCGCTGACGGAACCGCAGACCGCAGAAGGAAAGGCAGAGAGAAGCAAGAGAAAGAGTGAAAAGTATGGCGTCGTCTGGATTAGAGCCCATTGACGTCGATAGAATTATTGAAAAGCTGCTAAGTGTGCGTGGAGCACGCCCTGGCAAGCAAGTGAACCTCTCGGAAACGGAGATACGTGGGTTATGCTTGCACGCACGTGAAGTGTTCCTAGCACAGCCCATTCTAGTGGAGCTGGAGGCGCCCATAAAGATTTGCGGTGCGTTACGATAGAAATAGATGGCTGGTAGCAAGAAGGGGGAGGTGGGTCATGCAAAAGAGCTTACTTTGATGTTGTTTTCTTCGTATATTTGTAGGTGATATCCACGGTCAATACTATGATCTCCTGCGTTTATTCGAGTATGGTGGTTTCCCCCCGGATGCTAATTACCTGTTTCTTGGGTGAGTTAGGGAGAGATTTACATTGAATGGTTGCTGGCTACATGTAGAGAAAAGGGAAAAGAAAACTGACAGGATTGTTGTGATATGGATACATTTTAGTGACTACGTAGACCGTGGGAAACAGAGTCTGGAGACCATTTGTTTGTTACTGGCATACAAGATTAAGTATCCAGAGAACTTTTTCATTCTACGTGGCAACCACGAGTGTGCGTCGATCAACAGGATCTACGGGTTCTACGATGAGTGTAAACGTCGCTACAATATCAGACTTTGGAAGACCTTTACGGACTGTTTCAACTGCCTCCCTGTGGCTGCAATCGTTGATGAGAAGATTTTCTGTATGCATGGTGGTCTATCGCCCGAGCTTAGTCAGATGGAGCAGATTAAGCGCTTTGTGCGCCCTACGGACGTTCCTGACACGGGCCTGCTGTGCGATCTGCTATGGTCTGACCCTGACAAGGACATTATGGGCTGGGGAGAGAATGATCGTGGCGTATCGTTTACGTTTGGCCCGGATATCGTGAGCCAGTTTCTCAAGCGTCACGACCTTGATTTGATCTGCCGAGCTCATCAGGTGGTGGAAGACGGCTATGAGTTTTTTGCGAAGCGTCAGTTGGTTACGTTGTTCTCAGCACCTAACTATTGCGGCGAGTTTGACAATGCTGGTGCTATGATGTCGGTGGATGAGACACTCATGTGCTCGTTTCAGATTCTAAAGCCAGCGGAGAAGAAGCAGCGTTACGCGTACAACGGCTTGGGCACGCAGCGCCCAGCGACGCCGCCCCGGAAGTAGCAGAGAGATTCTGATGGACGGGCGTGCTCTCTGATTGGCCAAGCAGCACGAGTCGCTCGGTCCCCGACCTGCATAGTCATCCATTCATACATATGACTTGATTTTTATCGATACGATAACGTGACTGTTTGATTGAACATGCATCCTTCCTTCGTGATAAAGAGAGTTCGATAATAAAAAAGCTCGTTATGGTAATGATGGCCATCTTTACTGCAGAATCAGCACTTTGAAGCAACAGGTACATTACATGCGCTTTCGCTTGTTGCTGTGGAGTGCTATTATAGAGATTTAGTAAGCTCCACCTGGCAAGATATTCCCCACCTCGGGACGTTATCAGGGAATATACCGTACAATTTTTGTTATTATGCATTATAACAGGTTTTGAATACAAAAATAATATTGTTGTTTAATCAATTAATTTCGTTCATCATTCAATGAAGAAGTTGCACTAGCCAAAATTGTCCCGGTGCTGAACAGTAACCGTTACGATTAACGTTGATGTAAGAAAAAAAGTCAAAAAGTACCAGACCAAGACAATCTGTAGTGCGGACACGACCATCACTCTGATGCAACTAGTGAGTACCGTAAAGGGTGTAACCGCACCGCCCAATGGTAACACACTCTTCTCAGACGTCTCGCTGCGCTCCCGTCGGCGTCCGGCCAAAACAAACGACGCCAATAGCAACACCAGTAGTAGCTCCAGTCGCGGTCGAATCAGCATTGGCTTCCGTCGCAGTTCCAGCTCTAGCAACGACAGCACCAGCAGTGTTATAGAAAATCCACCCGCGCTATCGGAGGCCCGCTCTCGGGCTGCAACCCGCCCAGTGCCTGCCTCCATTCCGCCGCGTTATCGTTCACGTCCACAGGACGTAGCTGTTCGTGGCTCTGTGCCGCTTGATGCGGTCTCTAAGACATCACCACCGCATGTGGCGGTACGTTACGGGGACACGATCCGCCTTTTTGCTCGCAGTAAATATGTGGGAGAGGGAGATGACGGTGGTTACGTGGGTACATTTGAACGCAACAAGAGGTTCCTCGCATCCAAGAATTTGCAGAAACAAAACGAACTGGCGTGTATTCCACCCATTGCTCCATGCGGAGCAAAGCAGTTTAAACCGTCGACGTTCGTCATTTTATCGTTTAGTGGATTAGGGGTCGGGACACCGGTGAGTTATGGGGACGTCGTCGTGCTAGTCGATGCAGATGGACTAGTATGGAACAACAAGATTGGCGTCGGTCCTAGTACAAAGAATGGCTGTTTTGGGCCGAAAGAATCCAATACACCGGGAGAAATGTACTTGTCTTTCTACCAATTACAGACAAATACAGAAGGAGACGATAGCAGCTCGGAATCGTCCGATGATGAAGACAATTTCTTGTTCTTTAGTAACTTGGCAAAGACTACGAAGAATATGACCGAGACTACGTTTGGAAAACCTACTCAGGTGGAGCTGCATTTAGCAACGGCGGCGTTGCGGACGATGGGAAAAGTGATGTACTATGGCGACCAGAATCTTATTATTGACGTGGCTGATTCGAATCGACTACGATCCAAGTTTAACCGTGTGATTACACACTTAAGCAAGCAGCAAGAGTCGACACCTGTTCAAGGTGGTTTTTTGCGATGCGATGGTCGTGGTAAAACTATCTTGTTTGAGATGCACGGCCAGGAATTATCGACAATTGAATCAATTCAAATTCTAGACGAGAAAAAGAGCAATGCTGACGGTAGCGATGCGGGCAGTAGCAATGCTGATATTGACAAAATGAGTACGGATGAGTCTGGGCATCATAGTGCTCGTCCTCGTGTGTTGGTCTCGACGAGAACTGACGTAGCGGTGGGTAGTCCACTTTTGTTGCAAGATTTACGACGCTCGATGTCTCTAGTACTGCGATTCTCCGACGATGGGCGAGTCCAAGTTCCATGCCAGCGATTTCTGAAGCACGAGGGTGTTGCGTTTTATCGCCTGGTGCTCGGCGGAAAGCGCCCTATGCGTGTTCTTGTTCGTGCCACACGCGCTGTGAGCCGAAAGAAGGTAGATCTCCGTGGCACATTGCGCGGCACGTATCGGCAGATTGTCAAGCTCTCGTGTAGTATTATCGTCGCATACTTGGTTGCAGCTTCGGTGTTTACACACGTATTTGGCTCGATGGTGGTACTTCCTGCTGTGTACACAGGTTTATTTGCTGGAATAGTGGTCTTCTTAGTGGAAGTTTTCTTTCCAGGCACGGTGGTGACAGCACGGCAGATTAGCCCAGCAGCTACTGAGAAACGGCACTCACGTGACTTTCTTGGTACCTGGAACTTCACCGTATTGGCGCTTGAGGCATCTGAATCGGAACGTTTGGAAAATACTGGTTGTGCGACAAAGTCAGCGCAGTTGGTGGTATCGGTGCCTTCGGCTTTCTTGATAGCCGAGAACGGGGATGCTGTTACGGCATTAAAGCGCTACGAGACCACACTGGCCTGGAGAAACGAGGTAATGGCCGACTCTATTCTGTCGATGCCACAAACGCACTACAATGCAATCAAAGCGTAAGTGGGCACTTTTTATCATCTCAACTGCTTGTGTTTATGTCGCTTAACGTTTACGTATATTCTGCAGGAACTACACGCAATTTCTTCACAAACATGACAAGCTCGGCCACCCGCTCTACTTCGAGAAAATAGGCTCCATCAACATGCCTCAGCTCAAGAAAGTTGGCGTCACTCTCGATACATTGTTTAACCACTATTTATTTGCAATGGAGTTCGCGCTCAAGTACGCTGCTCATCAGATTTGTCCATGTGACGCATGTGCTGCGAGCGAGACGCAAAAAATGTGCATCGTGCTAGACGCGCGTGGTATCGGCATGCGCGACATGGGCGGTGAGGTGTTCGAGTTTGTTCGTCGGTGCACGGGTGCGATGCAGCGCCACTATCCGCAGCGGTCGTTCAAGATCTTTATCGTGAATGTACCTTCATGGTTCGGGATGGCATGGAAGGGCTTGAAGCCGCTTTTGAATGAGGCGACTCGCGCGAAGACGAATATTTTGACGGAGAGCGAGACTGCTGCCGGGTTGCTGGAGTTTGTTGATGCGGAGAACTTACCAGTGGAGTACGGCGGTACGTGCTCGTGCTCTGGTGGTTGCGCGACACATTCTTCTTACCAGCTTCTACAGCGAGCATTGGTTGAAAGCGTGTTAGAGAACAAGCCGTTCAAGCAGGACGAACTTGTTGAGGCGATCGCACGTGAGCGGTCCGGAGATAGCGGGCCGAGCAATGTAGAAGATGTATCTGCCACGGAGATACCTGTATTGTTTCCGCCCTTACCACCTGGGACGGGACCGATCAAGCGCGAGTCGTCTGCTACTGCTGTTTTTAATCACCTTTTTCGGTTTGGAAGTAGCGGAGCTGTGGAAAGCTGTATGCTTGACGGTGTCGATGACGGAGGCTTTTGCCGATCCATTCCAGCTGGGTTCTTTGGGGAGGAAGTTATAAAAGCAGGCTATTTGCTGAAGCGTTCACTACGGCACAAGCAGTTCAACCCGATTTGGCGCCGCCAGCTATTTATCCTTCATCCGCAGTTCTTACGCTTTGCCAAAACTTTGGACTCAGAGATCTACCAGATTGTGTCATTGTCTCACGACACGATTGTGCAGAAGGCGACGAAGCAAAACAACAGCTTTGAGATCATCACGCCACTGATGGCCGCTAACGGACACTCACTGCTGCTTTATGCCCCAACGACGTTCGTACTGCACAGCTGGGTGGAAGCAATTTCGGGAGCGATCGACCAGCTGAAGCTCATGACACCGCTGCCGGCAACAAGTCTCGAGCGGTCCCCAATTGTCTCGTTAAGGGTAAAGCAGGAAGCCAGTCCAGAGACCGACAACTTGTCGACATGTTTTGCGAAGACGACGATGGATACAACGAAGTGACGTTAGAATTACAATGGTGCCAAGTGGGATAGATGTGAAATTTATAAGCTTCGGAAGCTGTTTTGTTTGTCTTTTCACACAGTTGAATTAGCTTAAGACTCGAGCGGGACCAGAACAAGATGCGTGAAACTCACTGGACGGGGATGTTCCGGCTTGAGGTGCGTACGTCATCATGTGTAGCAGTTTTCAGCGTGCCTCTGATGAAACCTTTGCATCGTTACTAGAAAGTCTCATATTCAGGTCGGATGAGCATACCTCACGTCGTAAGCAATACCCAGAAGAGGGCATCAGTAGAGGTTCCCTCGGCGTTCCTAGTTGCAGAAAATGGCGACGTTACTAAGGCTTCAGAGCGCTATGAAGCCACATTAGCGTGGAGGAAGCAAATGAAACTCGATTCTATCCTGACAACGCCGCAGACTCACTACAACAACATCAAAATGTACGTCAACCTCCGACACTATTCGCTTCACCCCTGCAATTGACATTATCGTGTGCTACGCTTGCTGTTTTCCGTGCACTTGTGCAGGAACTACACGCAATTTCTTCACAAACATGACAAGCTCGGCCACCCGCTCTACTTCGAGAAAATAGGCTCCATCAACATGCCTCAGCTCAAGAAAGTTGGCGTCACTCTCGATACATTGTTTAACCACTATTTATTTGCAATGGAGTTCGCGCTCAAGTACGCTGCTCATCAGATTTGTCCATGTGACGCATGTGCTGCGAGCGAGACGCAAAAAATGTGCATCGTGCTAGACGCGCGTGGTATCGGCATGCGCGACATGGGCGGTGAGGTGTTCGAGTTTGTTCGTCGGTGCACGGGTGCGATGCAGCGCCACTATCCGCAGCGGTCGTTCAAGATCTTTATCGTGAATGTACCTTCATGGTTCGGGATGGCATGGAAGGGCTTGAAGCCGCTTTTGAATGAGGCGACTCGCGCGAAGACGAATATTTTGACGGAGAGCGAGACTGCTGCCGGGTTGCTGGAGTTTGTTGATGCGGAGAACTTACCAGTGGAGTACGGCGGTACGTGCTCGTGCTCTGGTGGTTGCGCGACACATTCTTCTTACCAGCTTCTACAGCGAGCATTGGTTGAAAGCGTGTTAGAGAACAAGCCGTTCAAGCAGGACGAACTTGTTGAGGCGATCGCACATGAGCGTTCCGGTGTGAAAAGGTCCAAGAAGCAACAACAAGTTTGCTCCTATCGTGGTCATTACCACGTACTTCGAGAAGTTTTATCGAGAGAGATGGTCGTGTAGCAATGTTCTAGACAAGGTGGGTTTTGGTTTGCAAAACCATTAGATGGATCGCTGTTGAAACTAGATTAGAGATCGATCAAATGCATGTATTTTTTACAAATGACAACTGGATAAGGTACGTCAATGTTGTACTATGTAGCGGTCCTATCGTCTAAGGAGACGACGTCGCAAACAATATTTATCTGATGGAAAGTCTTTGAAGACAAGCATTGCCCAAGTCCCGTCTGCTAGGTGTATAGAACACCATTCATCGTCACAACCATAGCCACTGGTTCAGCTGAATTGCTAGGCTTGTCTTCCCAGCAGACACACGTCGATTCAGACGATTGCTGAATTATGAAGGCTTTCGTCAGTCCTACTGTATTATTTTGTAAAGAGAACGCAACTCAAAGTGGCGCTGTAAAATCGCTGCTCCGGTTAGCACTGATCAGAGGCGAGATATCCACTGACCATCGCGTATCCTGGCCATGATCATTGACTGGTCCTCGAACCATACAACACAAAAGTTGTAGGGGTTTTGCAACAAGTGGCGGGCGACAGATAGATTCCAACCCTACTCGAAGCTGCTGATTTCAGCTGACGGTGTAGCTCGTACCACATTCCAACTGCTGTGGCGACACTGTCGACCACGTACAAAGTTTATTTTTTGCATGGCGTCAGTTGGACCTGCCAATACGGTTTTTCGCAACATAAGTTGGTGACGTCCGTCAGAATCTTTAGCCTATAGGAGGTGCGTCCTCTTGCCTTGTCTTGACTTCTCTACCGTCTTTACGCCCCCATACAAATTTATTTACGATGACCAGGACATTTTACTCTAAAATATAAAAAGTCGTGAGAAGTCAGCGTAGCAGACCAGACAACCCTATTAACCCGTCTCTGTGTTTCATATTTGGGTGTATTCTAAGCGTCCTATTGGGTAATTTTACTGTCTACTCCACTTTCTCACCCCGTGCAGCACCGAGACAATTGGTTTGTCTTGTTTTGGGTGTTGCACCGTCATATCGTAATTTTGGGCATCAGCATCGCAGTACGACCAACATTTGACCTCATTATTCCCGATAAAGTCCTTTGCCAATTGTCCCAAGTTGTTTGGGTGGATTTAGACGATGGGTTTTTGTTTGTCCAAGTGTTTACCTGACAGTGATATGGCAGCCGAATTGGAGGCTGAGCTTGATGAGTCTCGTCATAGCTACGTCCAGCAGTCGAAAGAGCAGTCGACTTTTGGCACCACGTCGTTATTGGCGGTACGATATTTTTACGATTTAGACTTTTAGTCAATAAAATTTGGACTATTTTTTATGTGGTTGCATTCTAATTGTTTATCCAAATATTGTGCTGCAATAGGCCGATGAAGTGGTGTGTCTTGATGTGATTGGAGAGGGACCATCCGGTGTGATTTACAAAGGCTCGTACCGTGGAAGTGTCGTGGCCGTTAAGAAAATGAAAATGATTTCGTTGCCATCCAAGGCTTCCGCCAGAGAGAACGTAGAGATGGAACTTGAAGTAGAAGCTACACGCATGGGCAGTCTACGACATCCTAATACGGTGCTTTTCATGGGCGCGTGTCTGCAGGAGGACTACTTTTGCATTGTTAGTGAGTTTTGCACTCGAGGTTCGCTATTTAACGTGCTACACGCTCCAAAGGCATCACCCAGTAGAAGGTACAAGAATAAAGGCTCAGAGCCAGTCGCGCGAACACATTCTGCCAGTTCAGCCAGTGGACCAAGTACTACCAGTGATGCTGAGGTAAAAAAGAAGGTAAATCTCAAGTGGAGTTTACGGATACGACTCGCGCTGGGAGCAGCAAGAGGACTTCTTTATTTACACAGTGCCGATCCGCCTCTTGTTCATGGACAGCTCAAAAGCTCCAACATTTTAGTGGACGACTCGTGGAACGCCAAGCTTGCGGACTTTGGGACGAGACGGGTGGCCGAGGCAGTTGGTTTTGATAGGAGTAGAATGAACAGTATTGACGAACGCTCAGCGCTGCTACGGTGGACAGCACCGGAGCTTTTGAGGCTAGGCGAGGAACGCATTTTAAAAGGAGCGTTTCCGAGCGACAGCTCTAGTCCTCAGGCCGTGGACATTTTTAGCTTTGGGCTGGTCATGTGGGAGCTCACAACCGGTGATTTGCCCTATGCAGACATGCACTCGAATGCTGAGATCAGCGATTATGTGCTATCAGGCTGTCGACCAATGATAAAGTCCGGCCAGTGCAATATCAAGTGGGCAGAACTCATGGCTAGATGCTGGTCACATAACCCATCAAAGAGACCAAGCGCTGCCGAAATTGTGTCATCACTTGAGAGCGTTAGCAAGGCTGATGCCGTTGCACAATCAGCTAAGAAGGAGACGCGTGTTGTTAACAGCAACCGCGCCGACTACCGTTTTGCAGATAGACCACGCTCACGGTCGAAGGGGCCCTCTAAATTTCAAAGCAACGTACGCGTTGGTATGTAAGCGCGCTCGCCATTTTTGCTGATTGCTAGTTGCTTGCAAACCTGTCGTGTTTTGGATAAAGAGCGCCATGTGTTGATGTCAATGCTGAGCGAATTGGAACAAGTGTTCAGTATATCCGCAATCCAAAAATCGAGACTTCACCTCGAGACGAGCATCGATTCTTAGCGCTGATGATTATTTGCAGCAGGCAGGACGCAATCATGCAGCTACGTCAATCCAAAACCTAATATTAATTTCATGACATATTGCTGGCCCCTGTTTGCAACTCACTGCGTCTTGACGTCTACTTTTGCGTACGGTGTGTAGTACTTGGCGATATGTTCTTCTAAGAACTCATCGCGCAGCAGGATGGAGATACGATGTGTGCGGTTCACCGACACCTGACCTTTAAACACCTGCATACCCGGTACAATCTCGTGCGTGTAGTGATACCGAACCCTTCCGGTCATCATGTACATGGATCGACGTGGCAGATAGGCGTCAATGACGGAGTCTCCGTACTCTTCTTTGAATCGCATGACACTAGGAGATAGCAAATTGACACCAGCCACTACTCGACCAAAAAACTTGATAGAATCGAGGTGGGGTTTAATGTAGCCATCTTCAGCAAGTTCAATCACATGCACAGCTGGAAAATAGTTGAGCTCTTTGGGTAGAATGGTAGCTTCTCGGACCTTCTGTAGAACGCGAAGCGTCTCAGTGGACCAGCGGGAGCGCTCCATTTCTTTGAATTTGACAATAGCATTGTCCCAGTGATTCTCTTCGTAGCGACGACGCTTTAAAATACGTGAACACTCATCGGCTACTAAGAGCTCCTCGTCTTTTGTGATGACGTCCAGCATAATCTGCAAGTCTCCTTCGTTCAGTAAAGGATCGTAACATTGTGTCATGTCGAGATTGTATACATTTTGCCATAATGATTGTCGAGAAATTACAGGGAAAGGAGCAAGAGCGGAAGAGCTCTTTAGTCGCCGGAGCGGTCGGAGGAGATTAATCATCTTGAATGCCCAAGAGCTCAATCTGATACTGATGTGGGTACACTATTATCGTAAAATGTTTATATTTTAGTAAGGTAAAGTCTGAGTCTGTGGAGGTCGAATCAGATGCAGGTGCATGTTAATGGCATTGTAGACGACATCGAGATGTTCACGTGGCACTTGATCCACTTGGAAATGATGTTTGCATAATAATGCAAAGAAAGAATGCCCTCGATCTCCAGCAAATCTAGCTTCATGCGCAACAATCACTAACGTATTGGGGTGTGACAACTGCACAATTGTCTGCACCAGCATGAGCGAAATGTCACGCTGGCCGTAGACCAGGTCTGAGCATAGAATGATGTCAAAATGCTGCAATGCCAATGCCTCCTGCTTGCCCCACATTAATCCCTGGGCAACCACATTGCCGGCAATCAAACCAAGCATCTGATTCTGCTCAATGTTGGCTTGGATCCAGGGAATCGCCATGGGCTGCAATGACAACAAGGAAGTGAGTCTACAAGCGACCGCTACGAGCTACGATCGACATTCGTACCATATCAGTCAAAATGACCTCCTTGGCACCTAATGCAGCAGCGGCCAAGCCAGGCACGCCAATGCCACAGCCCAATTCAATCACGCGCTTGTTCGTGAAAAAGTCATGAGGGAAGTACGTGTCATTTGTTAGGAACTTGGCTAACACCAAAGCACAGTCCCAGACCTTGGCTTGCTGTCCCTGTTTCTCCTTAAAGACTATTTTTCTATCAGTGCGAAGCTCGAGGACGTTCTCCGTCACGACGTCCTTGTCGGCGCCCTGAACACACCGTTGTCGGGCAGCCAACCCCCAGTCCCGCTCCGCATACTGCTTTACGTATCGATCAGCTTCACGACGTTTAGCCTGCTGCACATCCGTCTCTTTAAACAGGTCATCGCTCTCCATGCGACCAAAGAAATAGTCCTCTTCATCGGAGCTGCTGCTCGCGTCGTTTAAGTCGCTGCTGCTCATTGACTGGATTGGAATGACTTGAAAGCAAGGAATGGCTGAGATAGCCCGTCGTTACGAAATTCAAGAGGACGAGTTAAACTGTAGCATAATGGAGACTTTGGCGATGTTCGACACCGTGGAGACGGCGGATTGCGTCGAGTCCTGCCCTGTAGCTAGCTTCGAGTCCTCCATGGTGGTAGCCACGTATCAACTTCATAAAGCAGCGGAGATTGGCGAAGCGCAGGATCATCGAAGTGGCACTTTGCAACATTTCCAACTGGACTGCAAAGGAGCGATCAACACCGATGATGTAGACGTGGAAGTGCACAAGCTGGAAAACGAAACTCTGACTTCCAGCGGCATCTTCGACATCAAATGGAACACGCAGGCAATGAATGACAAGGCGATACTTGGTGCCGCCACGGCTGGGGGCTCGTTGGAGCTTTACGAGTTGACTCAGAAAGGAAATAAGCAGACGTTGCAGCACTCGGGGATCACCACCGACGCTGATGCGGCTTCCATGTGCTTGTCGCTAGACTGGAACAACCGTGTGCACCTCAATGGTCAGCCGTCCATCTGCTTGAGCCACTCGGACGGGTAGGTAGGTATCTTTTATAAGTTGCAAGGGTGTCAATCCCTGATATCTTGGCGTATGTGGGTCTACTCCTCGCTGTAGCACTCTATCGGTCTGGAATATTGCACAACAGGGCATCATTCAGCGTGCCAAGGTATGGACATAAGTGTTTTCTTGTTAACAAATTACTTCGATGAAACAGAATGACAGTGCTCTAAACTAGTGGTTGTTCGTCTTATATCTCCCAGTGGCACGCGCACGACTTGTACGGATCACCCATCGAGGTGTGGATCTCAGCTTTTAACTGCCATGACCCAAACGTACTGTTTTCAGGAGCAGACGACGCGGTCCTAAAGGGATGGGACCTGCGCGCTGGAACTGCAGCACCAACCTTCAAGAACTCGCGGCAGTATTCTATGGGCGTGTGTAGCATCCAGTTCCATCCGCACGATGAGCGATTGGTTGCTGTAGGCAGTTACGATGAGCAGGTAGTGATCTGGGACTACCGCAACATGACACGCCCATTGGTTGTGTACGGTGCCGGTGGTGGTGTCTGGCGCCTGAAATGGCATCCAGCTAAGAGCCGCAAGGTAAGGTCACGTGATAAGGAGATACAACATCAAGGTGACGAGCTAACTTGTTTTTATATCGATTGTTTTTTATTCTTAAGGAGCTACTACTGGCCGCCTGTATGCACAATGGATTTCAGGTGCTCGAGCTCGAGGCGAGCGAATCGAAGCTGCATAAGGTGGTGAGCTATGATCGTCACAATTCGCTCGCGTACGGTGTAGATTGGTGGCTACATCCAGCTGCTCTATCGGCTAAAGCACCTGTGATCGGCTCTGCTTCCTTTTACGATCATATCTATCACGTTTGGCGTCAACCGTTACAATCGAGTATCTGTAGTTGAAGTTGTGGAATTGGTGCTTGGGGAACGAAAAGGTGGTGCTTATTTCAATACATTGACAGTAGAGAGATTATGTGGTGGTGCAATGATATAATCGTAAACATCAAAGTGATAATGGAAAAAAGATACGTTTGACAAACCGTGGCCACCACTTTTGTACCCCTAATAGAGAGTCAGAATCTCGACACATAGCCGTGTAAAGTATAGAAACCTCAAGTCTATCTGATTCCTGCCATGCAAGAAATAAGGTCTCTGTAAAACGTAATGCTATTATAATCTGATTCGTATCAAAGCTCTTGTTTGGTCTCAGATCCAAGAGCTCCTTCTTCTTCTTATGCAGTGCAATGTCTCTAGCGAGTCTTCCCGTAGCAGCAGCGATGCGTCGCTTGCGCTCATCTCACAGAATCCACAAACAGCGCAAGGTTCAGGTGTTGATATGACTGACGAGCTCTTTGGTGCCTTCCTTGGAACTTCTAATTCCGCTTCCGATGGCTCGTATCTGGACTTGTACTACTCGACACCTTCAGCACACACGCTTTCTTCAACAGGAAGCAATGATTTACCACCCCTTAGTGGGATGAAGCGTGGCTACGATCGAATGACAGGAGATAAGACGTCGTCCACGACGGCCGTGGCTACGTCCATGCTGGCCATGCGTTCCAAGTCACAGAAACTGGTGGTAAACACACGCACGACCGGCAATTCCGTTCATATCGGTCAGAAACATACAGTTCAGACAGGGCTCAAGAAGGTGCAGGAAGATGACAAAATGACGTCCACGTCTTTAAGTGCTAAGAAGACAAAAGTATCTCGTGAACGCCAATTAAAGATAAATGCGGCATCACGACGATGTCGTAAAAAGCAGAAATTGGAGCTCCAGTTTCTCCGGACACATGTGTTGGAGCTACAGACTGCACTTAAAGATCAAGTGAACTACCTAAAACAAGGCCAACCATTACAGCAACAGCGAGCTACAAGACTCTCGCATTTTGTTGAAGACAGCATACGGAAAGTAGAGAAAATGAGCTCTAGAGCAAAACCTAGCCAGGCTGGGACGTCGGCTGCTTCACACGTGTCGTTCAGCTCGGACTTGCTCCCGTTCAAACCGGAAGACTACAGCGGAGAAGACACAGACAGGACACACAATAACGATGTCGTGAGTCACATTGAGACGGACGATGCTAATAGCGTGCACGTTATTGATCCGTCGACAGGATACTCGCTCAGTGACGAACGTAAGAAGGTACTGCTCAACATTTCGTCTTTCGTACGTGTCAATATTAGCTTGGAAAGCAGTAGCTTTGCACCAGAAGTGATCTCGTGTCTCCCAATTGAAATGGATGGCTGGCTACTACGTCTCGCCATTACAGAGAAAAGCTACACAATTCACAACCAGAAGTTCTTTCCGTGCAATATGAAGGATATGTTTGATTTCTGCTGGGAGACAAACGTGGCACAGAAAATATCGATTAAACACGCTAGAAAGCACTACGTGGTGGTGACTCCTCTAGACAAGGATGTCGCGCACGTGTATACGAAGACTACCGGAAAATGGTCGCTGAATGTGCATGGTGTTCCGAATGTCAGCTACAACAGCATTGTGTGTCGACGATCCATGCCAGACGAAGACCGAGCCATAATCTGCCAGCAAAGTGTGCTGGAAGAACGTGATTTCCAGGACGAAAACACTTTACCGTGGCTCTTTAAGCGGTGGGTGGTTTTCCGACCACAAGTCCAAGATGACGTTGAAGGCACCTTTGTGGAGGCATACCGAACCGCCAGCTACGCGACTGGGCGGCTCATTTACAAAGAGAACAAGACGTACGACAGTTTTTGCGAGCACCTGATCCGGCGCTACGCCGAGTCAAACACGTTGTTGGAGGGCATGATGGCACGTGATAAGCGGTTTGCGCACGCGTTCGATGCTAGTGTACATTCAGAAGCTGAGGCTGAATCCACCATGGTCTCCGACTGCGTGATCAAGGATCTGCTGCTTTTTTGATACATCGGCAGCAAAGTGTCTATTGGTGTTGTGCAAGAGTTTGCACGTTTTGCAGTGACGTCTTGTAATATTTAAATGCTTAAGTTTTCTGTTGTTTGCGTAACAATCGAATGACAAACGGAAGTGATGTATTCATGTGTCTACGTATCTATTCACAATATGAAGGTCGACGGCGTGCTGTCAGTCCCATATTATGCTAAGCTTGACTACCCGTAGTGCTGAAGGCCCTGCTAAATTACTGTAGCCGTCTGTATATCGATGCACGAGTCGGCAAGTCTAAACGTAAAAGTGTCTGTTCTTGGGCTTCGGCAGGGGTGTCCAGGTGACATCAAATGGGCGAGGCACTTCACTGAGCGCCAAATCCTTGTCCGACATGTTTGCCTCTGCCTCTTGCCACTCTTTAAAATATTCCTCGAGCGTTTCTGACACCACAAGTACGTACTTCGTTTTCGACTTGCCAGTCGTCTTTTTTTCATTAGCATCGTCATCATCGTCATCATCACCATCGTCCTCACCCTCAACGGTTTCCTCACCGCCGTCAAAGCACATGAGATCCTCTTCATCTTTAGAATTGCATTCCTCTTCTCGTGCAAGTTTCTCTTCTTTCTCCTTTTTCCGTCCCTTCTCTGCAATTCTCTCCTTTGTCTCCATTGTCTTCTTGAGTTTCACGTATTCTTTAAAGCGAAAAGCGTCTCGCTTCGTAAGTACCCGACGACGCTTCATTTTGCGCACATGTTCATTCAGCTGATCGACAACTTGTGCGGCTTCCACGAACGATGGGAAGCGCAGATCCAGACGACCGTTTGTCAGCATTACACCTCGGGGAACTAAACCCGACACCTTCATGTTCAGCCCAGCCTTAAAAAGAATCCTGTTCACCTCATCCACAAGATCCCCAACCTTAGTGCCATAAGGCACATTCATTAGAGTGATACCGGAGCGGTCATCTGCCGGCAATGAGAATACTGGTCGGTACTCGTTCCAGCCTGACATCATGACGCCAAAAATCTGTAGCGCGCGCATTGTCGCCATGCGACACGCGCTTTCTGACTCAAATTCCACCACAGCTTGGTGCGGCGTCTTCTTGTCGCTCGCAACGATTTTTCTCTTGTATTTGAGCATTCTCAACCCCTTCGAATCTTCCAGCTCTGCCTTGATTGCTTTCTTGCTTTTCTTCTTTTTCGGCTTGTCTTTGTCATCTACAACATCAAATTCGTCTTCTTGATCTTCTTCGTCCTCGTCGTCGCCGTCATCATCATCAAGATCATCAAATGGTGACTCTGGTGGCCCGTCAATAGGGTTGGAAAACAGAAAAAAGCGCTTGATGCCTCCGACATGAGCCAGTGCGTTCTCCAAATGCTTTTTCGTTACGCCATGTGGTAAGTTGCGATAAAAAGCGCAACGCGAGGGTTGCCATGCGGTCTCGAGGCGCTCACGTCCAGCGTCGTTCAGCGGTTCAAGTACACCTCGACCACGCATCATTTTCCCGGAATGACGAAGTTTGACGCGACAAATCGTAAGCGTCTCCACTGACAATTGCTGATAAACTTCTTCAAACATTGGCATAATCGCGTCCGCATCACGAGGTCCAAGAGTCTTACGCACATCAGATAGGAATGTATCTCCAAAGGTGGCGCGATTCGGTCGCCATGCAAGCTTATACTTGAGAAAACGAGTGAAGAACATGTGGTACTTACGATCATCCAACACTGACACGATGTTCCAAGCCGTTGTAATCACCTTCTCATGTTGCTCTGGGGTCAGCTTCTTTGGAATCGAATGAGTAGGGTCCACGTCGTCGATGTCGTGAATAAGAATGTGACCGACACGCATACGAGCCTCCAGCAAAGCACGAATGATAGCTTCGTTTCGCATCTGGTGGTGCTGCAGCGCAGTCGTCGCAACTTCCGAATCAAAATCCTCATACGTAGCATTGTCACCCGAAAGGAACGGTACGAGCTCCGATAGTAGCTGCTCGTGGTACGTCTCCGGGAATGCCGTCTGGATATTGCACACCATTTCCTGAAAGATCTTGCGGTGCAATTTCGACGTCTTGACCGATGCCAGCATCGCTACTAGCATCTTTGAGATCGTCTCGTTAGAGAGCTCACTTTTCATAAAATCAACAATGCCCTGTGTCTGAGACCGGAGCATGCGAAAGTCAATACGATCGTTTTCCAAATTAAACTCTTCCCATTCGGCATCCACGGCATCACCGTCCTCGTCTTCGTCCTTCGCAGTTACTTTCTCCAGTCCAAGCATGTCTGCATAGTGCGAGAATCCCTCCATGTCCAGCACCTTTCTAAAATCAGCCTTGACTTGCCACAAGCTCGACTTGGATGCACGACTGAGACCTGACGTTAGTCGTTGCATGAGCTTAAGCGAGTTCAGACACGCCAATCGGCAGTAGCAGATGACAATGCTCACAAACTGTGGGTCCGCCACCAAATCCGGATGCAGTCCCATGATCTTGGGCACAACAAAGTCCTCTGTTCCTTCTGCAAGTGTATCTTGTTCTTTACAAGTCACAACCTGTTGCTTTTGATAGTCTCCCTTTCGTGAATCGATCTCTAGCTGATCAATGACATCGTCTCGACCTTGTAGAAACGCCAACATGTAGCCAAGTTCTTTCTTATTACTATCTCCAAACCTCGTCTCTAATGATCTCAAAAATTGTTTCCTTGAGAGTCCCGTGACTCGAGGAAGAGTAGCGTATTGAGCAATACGATGAATAACTTTGCCAATTTCCAGTTCCGACATGGAATGACGCAGCACAGCCATGATTCTCTCAGCTTTAGCTGTAGCCTCTTCTCTAGACTCTTCTCGAATACCACTAGCCGATTCCTCCTGCTGTTGCTGCAATTGGAGTTCCGTACGTTCTTTGAGTTCCGCTTCACTGATTGGAAAACCAATGCGTTGAGCTGTAAACTCAATGTCCTGCTCTTGAAACTCCTTCTCATCGTCTTCGTAGGAAGCCAAGAACTGCATTGTCTCTGTCTGTATCTTATTCGTATCGTAACCATTCTTATAGCCATTAATAGAGCCATTAACGAGTGGTGGAGAGGAATCGACATTACTCGCGGTACAAGAGACATAACTATTTAGAGGACGGTTCACAGGATCTACAGCGTCACTAAAGGCACGAATTAGAAGCTGTAGACGATGTTGAGTTGCATACTGGGTATGCAGATACTGCAATGCCACTCGAGTCGGACGCAACACACGCATGAGATGAAGATGAGACGAAGAGCTACGTTGGCCAATGATGGACAATGGCTTCGTGATACGAAACCTATGGTATGGTATATAGTGTGTAGTTAACACAAAGATGTGATGGAAGATAGGTTTTGGAAACCCGATATTTCACATCAAATATTTGTCTCGTATTGCAATTAATATGTTAAGAACAGAATAATAGGTTTGCAAATGTCATGATTGAAATTAATGTCATGGAAGATAACAAGAACGATTTTCCTTCATCCTCTCCTTGGTGACTATAATGCTTGCAATCATTCTCTGCAATATCAAAAAAATGCAACAATGCTAAGAACATGGCGAAAAACAAAGCGCTCTTCCTGTAACATTCGATCCCCCAAAATACCTTCTTCAATGTCACCACTGTCTGCTTTCGACTGCGATATTATGGCGACCGGACCGTTACAGCAGAAGTGATGGCGCAGACGGGAGGGGAGGCTCCACTACCAACTTTAGCAGGAACAGCACCTCCTTCAAATTGCGTGCACAATTCATAGTTATCGGTTGCAGTAAGAACGGTAGTCTGAGCAATTGTTCCACAGTCCTTGTAATTGCTATTCATACGAATCAGCTCGGCAGTCGGGTTCACGCTCAACAGTCCATCCACAACAACTGCGCGCATGACAGGGCCACACCAACCACACGAATCAAAGAGCATGCCCGAGTTTTCCATGCAAAAACCGCCGCTGACAACAACCGTGCCCGAGCCCTGGCCAAAGACGACGCTGCCTGCTACGTTAAGTGCCCCTCCACCATTGATGGTCGTGATACCAGTGCCCGAGTTAATGTGGAGAGCTCCCTGAACTGAGTCCTTAAACCACACTTGATCGAGCCTGCAATTGTTCATCTCGCAAAAGACACCACCTCCACCTGAGATAATCACATTGCGGAGTAAACCACCGGCCTGAACGACAAACACGGCATTCTCTCTCGTCATCAAAGCGCCTGATTCAAATGCCACGTCACGTTTGTAGGTTTTAAACCCCCCGTCGAATGGAGAAAACTGACCGACAGAAATGGGCTCAGTGATCACCTCCGTTCCCACCGAAGAGGGGACATTACAGCCGGAATCCGAGTTCGTGTCCGCCTGAAGCAAGCGCATATCCACTTGTTCTCTGATGAGTTTGCGGCCACCATCTTGTAGGTCCAGACTGTCAAAGGTCCTTTTGTCTGTTGTTTCAATGGCTAGATCATCAACACCACATGATATGATTGACATACAGGACACACTACGTTAATTACGAATGACAGACTTGCCCATATCCAAGCCTAATATCTCTCGTACCTTGTGTAGTGAGCGTGTAGCTGGCCAGAAGAATTCCTATTAGTCCTCGCATTGTACTGTCTTGCTATTGATCAAAAACGCTTATGCGACTTGCTCGTCAGTCGTCATTTGATGCTGCCTTTTTTCTCCCCAAGACAGATGATGGACAAGAATTGCCACTAATGGATGTTGTTACCTTTGGCATGAGGAAGGGATGCACGTAATCTAGCGATGGGCTATAGAAACCGGAACTTTAAATACCGGTATACCAGTACGTTTAGCTGAATCTATAAAATCCGATTCGATAAAATATCCGGTGAAAAATAATACGTGATTATATCACAAAATTAGTGGCTATGCGTCACAAAAAGCGGGTGTCACCTTCCAAGCCCCTGCATGTGTCTGCTATTCATCCAAGAGGCTCTATTACCAACTGGGAAAAGGTAAAAAAGGGCGGTAATGTGTCATCATTGTGTGAAAAAACCCAGATAGTTGCGAGCTCTAAGAAGGTTAAAAGCACTCGTAACAAAAGACGTCACAAGTTAAAGTCTCTAACGCCAACGAATAATGACAAAGTTTGTATTCGCAGTCACGAGACGGCAATGGATAAAGAGCTTCAATATGTTTGCAGAGCGAGTGATGTTGTCTACAAAGGAGAGGAAGTTCCGCATTAAAGTGTATGAAGATGTACGCGATCTCATCTCGTCAGCTTTCCAGGACGCTACAGTGCAGCTTTATGGGTCGTCCAGCACTGGACTTGACACTTTTCGAAGTGACCTTGATATTACCGTGGGCAATCTTACGCTGTCTTCGTCTCAGTATCTGCCAAAGGTGGTGGTGGTTGATGAAGAGGAAGACGAAAAGGAGGAGGAGGTTGTTGTTAAAGAGCGACAGCAGAAGGAAGAAATGGATGCACATATGAACGTGTCCAGACCTGTACAGGATAAAGAGGAGGAAGCATCGTTCTCACTGAATTTGGCGCTACCTGTTGGAACGGTTGCCTCAGTTGACAATGCCCATATCACTCGTCGTGTGCAGTTTACACCAGCTTCGCACTGGAACCCGACGCTGCGTAGACGTAAACTCCGCGTTCTACGAGCGCTGCAACTTTTATTGAAGTCCCAGAGACCCCATTTCCAAGTAAAGTGTCTGCATAAAGCCAGAACTCCCATTCTTATGGTGCTGGACACGAAGACCAAGTTGGCGATTGATATCGGCGTCAATCGTGAAATGTTTGAGATTAGTGAGCGTGGACGCTCGACGTCGCTTGCAAAAAGACTGCAAGACACGCTGGGCGCACCGTTTACAACCATAGTCATGTTTTTGAAGGAGTTTTTGTACCAGTATGAGCTTGATAAGCTTTTTACAGGCGGACTTGGTAGCTTTCGACTATACATGATGGTGGCATTTATCTTTCAGCGATATGGCTCAAATAAACCACGGCCACCTGTATCGTCCCTCCTGCTGGCGTTCTTCGAGCTGTTTGGCAACAAGAAGCTGCCTAAATTCCTGCACGAGGGCACACAGCTGCCGCTTCCTTTTGGAGATGGTGGCCACATGGATTTTGGCGGTGTTTTCCGCATTGATGACTGTGTCGAGACGTTTGCCATGGCGTTCGACATTTTGAGCTCCACGGGCAATATTGGATCCATTATTTATGAAGAGCGGGGAGGAGGATCGCAAAAAGTGCCAGATAAACATTGAGCAACGCGTGTGAGATGGCCGAGCTAGCGCATAGGGAAGTGGCAACATGTATTACGTCTTACAATTTGAACTGCTTATATATAGTAGGGACTCCAATCCAATCACTAAACGCCACAAAGAACTGCTTTTGTCGATCGTTAGAGGCGATGACGGCTGTCGGTACCAAAAGCGTAGAGGGCGCTGTGAGCAATGGTACGTCCAAAGGAATGTTTTGCTTGAGTTGAAGATACTCGGTGTTTGCGAGCAACTTCTGGCCAAGAACGTGATGAAATGCACGGAGCAAGTTGCGTTTTGACAGACGTGAAGCTACTCTTTCCATGGCAGCCTGATCCATTTTCGAAGCCTTCTTGGCGCCCTGCTTGAACCCAGTTGCGGCCATCAGACACTCGATCTCAAAATTGTGAAAGAACTTCCTTGTAAGTTCGGCTTCATCCATTGATTCGGGCGTCGGCTTTTGCTTCTTGCCTCGGGTCCAAAAAGACTCTTGGGTCGTCCAAACCATCGCTAGACTTGATGGAGTTCGGTTGAACGTTCGTCGGCGACTGAACGGGCGAACATCGGAGACAACATGCACTTTACAGGAAGATAGCCGCGCTCCCTTTATCAGTGCACCACGTTCTTCAAGCCGAGTGCACACTGCGCGTCGGAGGGCCCGTTCTTGCTTTGCCACTGACATTGCTTTATCATCTCTGCTTACACAGACAGAGCTCAAAAAGATCGGCTCAAACCATTGCAGTAAGAGAGAGCCTTGCAGTCCTAGCGCATTCCACTTGGCCAGTTTGTCGGAGCAGCTCATGGACAGTGTCTGCTTGTCTAGAGGTAGATCTGACCGACCCGATTTCACACGTGCAACGCCAACTGTTTGTGTGAACCGGTTGTCGGGCAGCAAGGTGTCTCGGTGTCTCGGTCTTTTGGCTCCTGTGACTCGCAGTTCACTCCGAGACGGTACGTGGTTTTCAGTCTCGTCGTCTGTGCTGTTACACCCCGCTCTTCGTTGTTGCACCAACTGATTGACGACTTCTTGGCGTAATTCGTAGATGGCTGCATCTCCACAAGGCGCTTCACTGATAAAGAGATGCAGCGAATGCTGTGGCTTGAGCACCAGTCGACGCGATGTCGAGTGGTACTCGAAGATCGACTGCTCGTTTGATTCCGGCTTGTTTTCCTTCCATAACAGCGCTTCAATGTACAAATAGCGAAGCAACGCACGTCTTGCCAACACTTCAGCGTGGCAATCGTTGACTACGAAGCCGTCGGCGTTCAGATCGCGTCGTCCAAGACATTTGTTACCTGTAGCAGCTGTCAAGACCCGAAATGTATTGGTAGACACTGGTTGTGGAGCGGAAGAGGGAGGAGAAAGCGTTTGCAATACAATGCCAGCTAGTACAGTCCACTCGGAGATAGGGATCTTCTTCTGACATTGCAAAGAGGTCTCAAACCACTGCAGCATAGCATGTGCTACGTCCGACTCGATGGCTGGTGATGGCATGTTTTGTCGAGTGACATGTCATTCATTCGAGTTATACCAAACTAGATTCCGGGGCAGGATTAGTGTTTTTGTCTCGCGTGTGAAGAAAAAGAAGCGGCATCATTCCTAGCAAACATCCGATAGTCACACCCATAGAACTACCTGCCATTTTTGCCCATCTCGTTTGTTTTAACAGCATCTAGAAATACAATGCAACAACAAACAAGAGAGATTGAAAGAGAGTGAGAGAGAGAGAGAGAGAGAGAGAGAGAGAGAGAGAGAGAGAGAGAGAGAGAGAGAGAGAGAGAGAGAGAGAGGGGAGAGAGAGAGAGAGAGAGAGAGAGAGAGAGAGTGAGTGAGAAAGAGAGTGAGAGACTATAGATAACAGACAAATAGTATGAAGATCACTGTCGTACCTGTTCCTTTGTCAGTGATTGAACAGGAAGACCCAGACGGGCGCAAAAGTCTTCAATGACGTTACCAAGTCCCAGCCCTGCAATATCGGAAATGGTATTGCCAATACCTGCCGCGGCCATGGATGAGATACCAAACGACACGCCCAACGTGAGGTCAATGTAGTCACCGGCAAGGATCATGATGACATTGTCCACGAATCCAAATCTGATGAATGGCAGCCCCGTTTGCAGCGCCACAATCTTGAGTTCTTTCATTGTTGGGACAGCTGCTGACTCAACAGTAGCTGTCACTTTTTTGGCCGACACATTTACGACGTTCAAAGCCCTGGACAGATTCCGTGTCGTGGATGGCGATAAAAGAGCACTCAGTTGCTGTAGGTTTGTCTTCAATGCCGCTTCCAGATCTCGTAATAACGCTGCGTTCTCAACTCTGACACGAGTTTTGGAATGAAATGTAGCAGTGACGCAGTTGGTAGCGACGCGCCGGCGAAGGTGCAGGCCAAGCATCGGGACTATTGTTAGTACCAATTATTATAGGAAAATATATATATACGAAATTATGCCGAAACATAAAAAAAATATTTTACAAGAGGAAAATAATGTATCATTTATAAGTAAGAAAAATAAATATATATATAATGGCGTATACTATACGTATGGCATGTCAAATCAAAATAAGCTTCATGTAATGGGGATACATCACGGCTGGATAATTGTATCCACATTTGCGTCAGTTTGTTTAACCTAACATAATGCATACAAAAGAAATTGTCGGTATTTGTCTAAGAAGATATTTGGGATCGTTAATACCGTAACTTGTCGGTTATGGGTCGATAGCCGATAACGCCGTACTAAGTACAGCATATGCTGATACGGAATCCCTCCAATAAGTTACCCTCCGATAAGTTAAAACCTCCGGTATGTTATTTAGTTTCGTGTCCACCAAGCTAGTTCTATGATCGCTAAGTTATAAGTAAAGTTATAGTCAGACAGGGCAATATAACTTTATAAAAGGAGCATTTTTATGTATTTTAAACGAGAAATTCTACTCAAACTACATGTCAAGTGTAGACGGGCACTTCGTAATAATGCTCCCACGTACTACGCGGCACACCTTTAAGCAGCGCGAGGAAGCGGTTATAACGTCTTACCTCCCGGCGGTGGTGGTGGTGTTGGTCGGCGCTAAGAAGCGCTGTACCAACCGTTGCCGGTCGCTTTGGAGCGGTCCGCGCAACGAACATTTAAGAGGCGCCTCACTTACGTCACGCAGAAGCTACCAAGCTTCTCGTGCGCAGTGGGCAATAGTTAGTAAATTCACGACTGACTCATATATAGTAGAATTTAATTAAAAATAAATCTAACTACTGATTGGCTAATTATGCAAAGATTGGATACGCGTCTCTTTATAAACGTGTACTTACGTGCGAGCTTTAAATATATTTAAGCTCGCTGTGACGTCTATTTAAATCGTCACCATGAGCCTATTCCCATTTGGGCGTCAGCCCCGTTGATAGTGAATCTCATTCATGGATATTATACTCACGAGGGTGGGTCATACTGATGTGCCACACCCAAGTGACAGGCCTAAGGTGCCTCGTACCCATTTAGACCTGCCCGTTAAGTATCTGATACTTAACAAACCGTGTAACTTTTAAGTTGTTACACCATCCCCCTCTTAAAGACGATTTTACACTTTGTAAAACATCGAATAAAGAGACGATGCCACCGAAACGTAAAAAGGATGATGGGTCGCCTGCAAAGGCGCCCATGCAGACCAACACCAAGCGCACGCGCCGCGATGATTCGCAGCCGTCGCGAAGTGTCTCTGTGACAATGCCGACATCTAATGTCAGCTCTTTAGCAGAGAGCACTGGTCCATCCCGCTATGGTTCGGATGAAGACTTGTCTCTTATTGTTGACTACAAGGAGAGCACACCATTGCCATCACCCCAAAGTACATTGCTCTGATGGGACATTTGTACTTATCATTTAAGACACCAAGCCTTTAAAAATCTTTCATGCTTCCTGACAGCGAGGTCATGCTCGTCGTCGTGGATGGCGATAAAAGAGCACTCAGTTGCTGTGGGTTTGTCTTCAATGCCGCTTCCAGATCTCGTAATAACGCTGCGTTCTCAACTTTGACACGAGTTTTGGAATGAAATGTAGCAGTGATGCAGTTGGTAGCGACGCGCCGGCGAAGGTGCAGCCAAGCATCGGGACTATTGTAAGTACCAATTATTATAGGAAAATATATATATACCAAATTATGCCGAAAAATAAAAAAATATTTTATAAGAGGAAAATAATGTATCATTTATAAGTAAGAAAAATAAATATATATATAATGGCGTATACTATACGTATGGCATGTCAAATCAAAATAAGCTTCATGTAATGGGGATACATCACGGCTGGATAATTGTATCCACCATTTGCGTCAGTTTGTTTAACCTAACATAATGCATACAAAAGAAATTATCGGTATTTGTCTAAGAAGATATTTGGGATCGGTAATACCGTAACTGTCGGTTATGGGTCGATAGCCGATAACGCCGTACTAACCTCCCTTCAATAAGTTATCGTCCGATAAGTTAAAACCTCCGGTATGTTATTTAGTTTCGTGTCCTATGATCGCTAGTTATAAGTAAAGTTATAGTCAGACAGGGCAATATAACTTTATAAAATGAGCATTTTTATGTATTTTAAACGAAAATTCTACTTAAACTAATGTCGAGTGTAGAAGGCCACTTTGTAATGATGCTCCCACGTACTACGCGTGCACACCTTCAAGCGGCGTGAGGAAGCGGTTATACCGTCTTTCCTCCGCGTGCGGTGGTGGTGGTGTTGGTCGGCGCTAAGAAGCACTGTACCAACCGTTGCCGGTCGCTTTGGAGCGGTCCCGCAACGATCATTTAAAGGGGGCTCACTTGTCACGCAGAAGCTACCAAGCTTCTCGTGCGCAGTGGGCAATAGTTAGTAAATTCACGACTGACTCATATATAGTAGAGTTTAATTAAATATAAATCTAACTACTGGTTGGCTAATTATGTAAAGATTGGATACGCGTCTCTTTATAAACGTATACTTACGTGCGAGCTTAAAATATATTTAAGCTCGCTGTGACGTCTATTTAAATCGTCACCATGAGCTATTCCCATTTGGGCGTCAGCCCCGTTGATAGTGAACTCTTCATGAATATTATACTTACGAGGGTGGGTATACTGATGTGCACACCCAGTGACGCCTAAGGTACCTCGTACCCATTTAGACCTGCCCGTTAAGTATCTGATACTTAACAAACCGTGTAACTTTTAAGTTGTTACACCATCCCCCTCTTAAAGACGATTTTACACTTTGTAAAACATCGAATAAAGAGACGATGCCACCGAAACGTAAAAAGGATGATGGGTCGCCTGCAAAGGCGCCCATGCAGACCAACACCAAGCGCACGCGCCGCGATGATTCGCAGCCGTCGCGAAGTGTCTCTGTGACAATGCCGACATCTAATGTCAGCTCTTTAGCAGAGAGCACTGGTCCATCCCGCTATGGTTCGGATGAAGACTTGTCTCTTATTGTTGACTACAAGGAGAGCACACCATTGCCATCACCCCAAAGTACATTGCTCTGATGGGACATTTGTACTTATCATTTAAGACACCAAGCCTTTAAAAATCTTTCATGCTTCCTGACAGCGAGGGTCATGCCTCGTCGTCTGTGCCAACAAGCGCAGCGACTAATACTGAGCGCGCTGCTTCTAAAGGAGTAGTCGCGACTCAACAGCAGGTCAGCGATTTTAAATCGTCCGCTCTGTCAACCCTACGTCTGATGCCTTGACAATCCGTAATGGAGAGTCAGACTCAGGTGAGTGTGAGCTTAAAGCTCCACCAAGTACACATTCGGCCTCACTAACCCGCCGTCGTGAGGGCGGCTACGTGAGTGGTGGCTTGCAACCAGTGCCACCTCCATCCAAGTGGATAAACTCGAAGGGGTCTAGTGCAACGCTTTTGCAGCGTGCCACTATTAACACTAATAAACTTTTTAGGGTCATTCCATTATGGAAACGGCAGGGCAAAGCACTTGGTCGTGCTTTCCCAATTCCAGTCGTGATGCGTTCTAACAAAACAACCAACGAATACGAAGCAGAGTTCCTGCGCTGTGTCAAGCCGCATGCAGATGCAGTGAAACAGCGGTCGCAGCAGATCAGCTTGCTATGAAGCGTGCGAGGGAGATATTGGGTGGTAACATACCCCCAGCTCCTTCTCGTCACGCCGTCCCTGCAAGTCCATTAGGATCTAGCAGAGCAAATGCAGCTTGTGCTTCTGCTCATAAGCAGCCACCAGCCCAGGCACGTCGATACGCAACGCGTCGATCGTATCCCATGAGTTGAAGCTCTTCGGGTAATCCTTTCACTGTACAAGGATTTGAAGCTTCTGATTCACATGGCGGTGGGCCAACACCCTTCAACAACGAAGCGTGTGTTCCCACCCGCATCCACCAGCACAGGTGGAGCCCAATAGGAGCGGTGATTACGTTCAACTATTTGCGGCTGCCTATCATGTTGTCGTTCAGTCGCAGGCGGAGATCGCTGCCTGAAGAAAGAGGTGGCTGATCAGTCAAGTCAAGTCTGCGACTGACTTCGGATCTACGCTCTGTGAATACGAGGGATGTCAGGGGTAGACGCCTGAAGGACCATTTGGACATATACGAGCGACTGTTGATGAGAGACCCGTCCAACGCGGAGTCCTCCTCGATCACCTAGTCCTCTGTCGTCGGTCTCGTATACGAAGTCGTTCACCTTCCCTTTCGCCTGATCGGCAACGACGCTCAACTCACAATCGACGTCATCATCGATCTCGCTAGGCTGGTGCGATCTGTGATCTCTTTTGAATCCACATACCGTTTCAGACGACCCACGTAAAATACGGGGTGCGTCTTCATATACGGTGGGAGAGTGAGCCTATCGTTTATGTCTCCAGCTTCTTTAACCACTGTAAAGGTCCCAACGAACCGGGGCAATAGCTTAGTAGTACCACCAGGTAGTACAGAGATTGCATGTTTAAATAGGGTAGCAGTACTTAATAGCACTTTTCCCCACACTGAAGCGTTCATTGTTTTTGCGACCATGTTGGTCCGCATATTTTTTTTCTTGTCCTGTGCGCTTGCGTTGGTCACGGACTTTACTCGATGGCTAATCGCTCATCCACAAACGCTGAGCTTCGCTCACGCTTTTAGCATCCAGCTCGCCTATGACCCTCCAAGAGGTCGTTCATGGGCCAACCTGTTGATAACACTACAGTCATCGTCAAGGAGCACTGTCGTTTCTTCCGTCCTCCTCTGTGACACCTATAGGTGCGTGACTACTGCTAAACTACAGTATCACTAGGCAACCTTGGCCCTTTTTGGCATTCGCACCGATCGAAGTGAGGGGCCCTTCCTCACTAAGACCCGGGCTGCGTACAAACGAGACTGGTGTTCGAGGATGGTGCCGTTCGCTAATGTAAAACGGG